AAGTTTTGACTAGGGTCGTGACAGCGTCAGTTATAGATTGACTAGTGTGGCAAATGCATTCCGCACGGGCTGAGGTGGGGGGTTGGTATGGAAGGTGAGGGGTGGAGGAGGGTTATGGAGGGTTAGGCTTGGGTGGGTTGGCATGGAGGGTGAGGTCAAGGGGTTCGTGTGGAGGGTGAGGTGGGGGTGTAGGAGGTTGAGGTGGGGGGTAGGAGGGTGAGGTGGGGGTAGGATGGTGAGGTGGGGGGTAGGAGGGTGAGGTGGAGGGGGTGGTGTGTAGGGTGAGGTGGAGGGGATTGGTTTGGAGGGTAAGCTTTGAGGGGGCTTGGTATGGAGGTGGGGGTGGGTATGGAGGGTTAGGTGGGGGAGCTGGTATGGAAGGTGAGTTGGGGTGGGGGAAGGCTATGGAGGAAGAGGTCAGAGGGTTGGTGTAGAGGGTGAGGTGGGGGTTAGGAGGGAGAGGTGGGGATATGGAGGGTGAGGTGGGGGGTTGGTTTGGAGGATGAGTTGGGTATGAGAATGGAGGGTGGAGTGGTATGGAGGGTGAGGTGGGTGGCTATGGAGAGTGAGGTGGGGTGTATGGAGGGTGAGGTTGGGGCTTTGGTATGGAGGGTGAAGTGGGGGTGGTATGGAGGACGAGGTGGGGGCATGAAGAGTAAGGTGGTGTGTTAGTGTGGAGGGGGGTTGGTTTGGAGCATGAGGTGGAGGGGGTGGTGTGTAGGGTGAGGTGGAGGGGATTGGTTTGGAGGGTAAGCTGTTGAGGGGGGCTTGGTATGGAGGTGGGGGTGGGTATGGAGGGTTAGGTGGGGGAGCTGGTATGGAAGGTGAGTTGGGGTGGGGGAAGGATATGAAGGAAGAGGTCAGAGGGTTGGTGTAGAGGGTGAGGTGGGGGTTAGGAGGGTGAGGTGGGGAGTTGGTTTGGAGGATGAGTTGGGTATGAGAATGGAGGGTGGAGTGGTATGGAGGGTGAGAGGGTGGCAGAGGGGTATGGAGGGTGTGGTGTTGGTATGGAGGGTGAGGTGGGGGTGGTGGAGGTGTATGGAGAGAGGTGGGGTTGTTATGAAGGGTGAGCTGGGGGTGGGTCTGGAGGGTTATGTGGGGGGTATGGAGGGTGAAGTGGGGTGGGGGTGGTGGTGGGGTATGGAGGGAGGGGCGTTGGTATGGAGGGTGAGGTGGGTGGCTATGGAGAGTGAGGTGGGGTGTATGGAGGGTGAGGTTGGGGCTTTGGTATGGAGGGTGAGGTGGGGGTGGTATGGAGGACGAGGTGGGGGGCATGAAGAGTAAGGTGGTGTGTTAGTGTGGAGGGGGGTTGGTTTGGAGCATGAGGTGGGGTGGTATGGAGGGTGAGGTGGGGAGTACGCAGGGTGAGGTGGGGTACTTTGGGGCTGGGTAAGGAGGGTGAGGTGGGTGGGTGGGTTGGTATGGAGGGTGAGGAGGGAGGGGTATAGAGTGAGGTGGAGGAGGGTGAGGTGGAAGGGGAGGTTGAGTAGGGTATGGAGGGTGAGGTGGGGGTATGGAGTGTGAGAAGGGAGCGGGTGGGTTATGGAGGGAGAGGTGCTAGGGGTTGGTATGGAGGGTGAGGTGGGGTTGGTATGGAGGGTGAGGGTGGGGGAGGGTTATGGAGGGTTAGGTGGGGTTGGTATGGAGGGTGAGGTGGGAGGGAAGGTGGGGTATGGCGAGTGAGGTGGGGGGGAAGGGGGGTAATGGAGGGAGAGGTGGTGGGGGTTGGTATGGAGGGTGAGATGGGGTTGGTATGGAGTGTGAGGTGAGGGTGTGGGAGGGTTATGGAGGGTTAGGTGGGGGGTATGGAGGGTTAGGGGGGTATGGAGGTTGAGGTGCGGAGCTTGATATGGAGGATGAAGTGGGGTTGGTATGGATGGTGAGGTGGGCTTGGTATGGAAAGTGAGATGAGGTTAGTATGAAGGGTGGGGAGGTTTGGCTGTTTTGGAGGTAGAGGGATTGGAATGAAGGATGAGGTGGGGGCGGTGAGGTATAGAGAGTGAGGGTGGAGGCGTCTGGGGTTTGGAGGGTGACGAGGGAGGGGGGTGGGGACTGGAGGGTGAGGAGGGAGGAGGGTGGGGACTGGAGGGTGAGGAGGGAGGGGGGTGGGGACTGGAGGGTGACAAGGGAGGGGGTGGGGACTGGAGGCTGAGGGGGGAGGGAGTGAGGTGTGGATTGTGAGCAGGGAGCTGTTGGGCTATGGAGGGTGAGGAGGGAGGGGGTTGGGGCATGGAGGGTGAGGAGGGAGGGGGGGTGGGGTATGGAATGGGAGGTAGGGGCATGGAGGGTGAGGTGGCGGGGTTGGTATGGAGGGTTAGGTGGGAGGGAGTTGGGGTACGGAAGGTGAGGAGGGAGGGAGGGTGTTGGGATATGGAGGGTGAGGAGGGAGGGTGGTGGGGTACGGAGGGTGAGGGTGGTGGGGTACGGAGGGTGAGGGTGGTTGGAGTGTGGAGGGTGAGGGTGGTGAGGAGGGAGGGTGGTGAGGAGGGAGGGTGGTGAGGAGGGAGGGTGAGGGTGTTGGGGTGTGGAGGGTGAGGGTGGTGGGGTGTGGAGGGTGAGGGTGGTGAGGAGGGAGGGTGGTGAGGAGGGAGGGTGAGGGTGTTGGGGTGTGGAGGGTGAGGGTGGTGGGGTGTGGAGGGTGAGGGTGGTGGGGTGTGGAGGGTGAGGGTGAGGGTGGTGGGGTGGTGAGGGTGGTGAGGAGGGAGGGTGAGGGGGTGTGGAGGGTGAGGGTGGTGGGGAGGGAGGGTGAGGGTGTGGAGGGTGAGGGGGTGTGGAGGGTGAGGGTGAGGGGGTGTGGAGGGTGAGGGTGGTGAGGAGGGTGAGGGTGGTGAGGAGGGAGGGTGAGGGGGTGTGGAGGGTGAGGGTGGTGAGGAGGGAGGGTGAGGGGGTGTGGAGGGTGAGGGTGGGGAGGAGGGAGGGTGAGGGGTGTGGAGGGTGAGGGGTGTGGAGGGTGAGGGGTGTGGAGGGTGAGGGTGGTGAGGAGGGTGAGGGTGGTGAGGAGGGAGGGTGGTGGGGTGTGGAGGGTGAGGGTGGTGAGGAGGGTGAGGGTGGTGAGGAGGGTGAAGGTGGTGTGGAGGGTGAGGGTGTGGAGGGTGAGGGGGTGTGGAGGGTGAGGGTGAGGGTGGTGAGGAGGGAGGGTGAGGGTGAGGGTGTGGAGGGTGAGGGTGGTGAGGGGTGAGGGGGAGGGGAGGGCAGGTATGAGAGCGAGGAGGAGGCTGGCAGTCGGTGCGGGCTGGGCGGTGACAGGGTGGATGAGCATTACCGGTGGTCTGGGGGCGGCGGTGCCGGTGTTTTGCGGGCGGCGGTTATTAGGCTCTCAGCTCCGCACAATTCAAACAAAAGCGGTTGGAAACCGACCGTTGGTGCGCGAGGTGCTCCGCTCTGCGCATGCTCGCCAGGCCCAAACACTGAGTGGGCAGTGCGCGAGCAGTGACCTGACTGTCGCCAGTATCAAACATGGCGGCCGCTCCCAGCCGTCACAGTGCCGACTGAGCAGACGCCGTGCCTGTCTCAAAAATGGCGGTGTGTAATCAGAACGCCGCTGCTCGGGGCCGAGGGACGGCGGAGTGAAGCAGTGGGGAAACGGGAGCCGCAGCCCTATTTACCCCTCGCCTTCTGCAAAGTGATGCCGGTACCTGGAGCGGCGGCTGCAGCGGTTCGCGGCCTGTGACAAGCTCGCACCGCGGGGCGAGTGAGGGCAGGGGGGCAGCTCGTCAGTCCCAGCGGGAGGCTCGGGTCTGTACCCCGGGCCGGGGGGGGGAGGAGTGAAGTACAGTGAAGATGACAAGCAATGTGAAGGCGCGAGGCCGAGAGCACACACCTCCCTTCAGTCCCTGGGACTGAGGTAAACCCCGGCACCCGGAGGCCGCTGTGAGCCGCACGTTGACAAGATGCCTTGGCCCTTCTCTGAGTCGATAAAGAAGCGGGCGTGCAGGTACCTGCTGCACCGGTACCTCGACCACTTTTTGGAGGAGAAACTGAGTTTGGAACAGCTGAGTGTGGATCTGTACCTGGGAACCGGATCGCTCGCTCAGGTGCCCCTGGATAAATCGGTAAGGGCTCCTGTATTGGTCAAGTCACAGCCACAACAAAGTATACTTGTGTAAACCCTTTCATATCAGGAGGAGGGCTCAAGGCGCTGGACAGTGAGGGATCCGCAACCGAGCTGGTGGTTGGGATCAGGAGGGGTAGAGGGAGGGAAGGATTGGGGTAGGAGACGGACCGAAGACATGTCTTCTCGACGTCTCAAAGCTCTATCACAGAATATACTGTCAAGTGAAATAACCGTATATTTTGGGGCAAAACACGGGAGCCAATTCCACACAGCAGTGCCCCACAAACAGTCATGGATTGAGTGACCAAATTATTATTAGCTGGAATGCAGCCAGCTAGGGAAGCTCGCTCCAGAACATGCGTTAATCAGCTGTGGGGGAATTGGAGCAGATTCCTGGCACAGGCCCCTTACATGGATGAGTAAGCGTTAGGACAGCAGAATGGAGCATTTATTAATGTGAGGTTCATCAGTGTTGGAGTAGCAGGATACTGGGTAATTGATTTGTTTTTTGGAGTCACAGGTTAGAAAATCACCTGCAACATTGGTATGTAATATACCACTGCAAACAGGACCACCATTTCTTAGTCTCATTTTACACTGTGATACCCCGGTGTTATAAAGATCTAGGATTGTTGGAAAGTTTGCCAGACTATTTTTGGTAGGTCAAGGTATTAAGGGATATGGGGAGAAAGCGGGAAATTGGAATTGAAAGTACAGATCAGCCATAATCTAATTAAATAGAGGAACCGGCTCAAAGGACTGAATGGGCTCCTCCTGTTCCTATGACTTACCGTGTGTTTTTCTGCTCTAGTCCCTGAATGAAATCCTGGATTCACTTGATGCTCCTCTGGAAATAATTGAAGGATTTATTCAAAACATTTCCGTTTCTATACCCTGGTCTTCACTCTTGCAAGAAAACTGCGCGGTGGAGGTACAGGGACTGGAGATGGTGTTCCGACCCAGGCCTCGAATAGGTGAGTTCTCACAGTGAAAAGTCAGGAACTGCGCTCTTCTTTCCATTCAAAGATGCGGTGATGTGGCCAAATCGTCACGGCCAACTCGCCTCTGGGCTCCGATTCCTAGTGCTGGAGCCACTTGGCTTGAGACACGATGGGCCAAACGGCCATCTTCTATACTGGTAATGGCTCTGAAAAGTGTTAAACCAGTTAGGTTGAAATCCATTTGACAGGGCAAAGCAGAGTACCATGGATATCAAAAATCTTCTTTGGAAGAGAATCTTAAATATTCCACATTGAATGCACTTTGGTGAGGGATTGCAGATCTGGTTAAGGTCAAAATTCGACTTGTACTTTTGTTTTTTTAACAAGGGATGAGTTTGAGACATAATAATAATAATAATCCTTGCATTTGATATAGCGCTTTTTCACGTCTTCTCGACGTCTCAAAGCGCTTCATAGAATAGACTGTAAAGTGAATCGACCGTATATTTGTGGGCGACATACTGGCTTTGAGCCTATTTATTCGAATATTTAACATGCAAATTGGTGACAACAAGAGAAGGCAATTTGACTTTCACTGGTTCATTTCTTTTGTTGACAATGATGGTTAAAAATCGTAGAAAGTTTACAGCACAGGAGACCATTTGGTATCAACGTGTCTGGGCTGGTGCGTGCTCCCCCACTAGAGCTCTCTACTCTAACCCTATTCCCTGCTCTTTCCCATACCCTGCAATTTCATTTTTCCTCAAATATTTATCCAATTCTCCCTTAAATGCTGCTGCGGACCTGGCTTTAACAACCATTTGTGGAAACTATTCCATATTTTAATTCAGACTTGTGTTATTGTATTATTCTGGGTGTGTTTGGTGACAGTGTAACCCTTCATGTGCTGTATTTTTGCTAATAGTGTCCGGCTCTGAGCCCATGTACTGGTCCAGCTTTATGACGAACAGCATGCAGCTGGCTAAAGAGTGTCTGAGCCAGAGACTGATCGATGATCAGGCTGAGGGTCCCCAGCCGTTGGAGGGGCTGGAGAAGTTTGCAGAGACCATTGAAACAGGTTAGTAAATAGTGTACGTAACCTGGCTGTTAGACTGTCCCACTTTACTCTCATTAGTGAATGTGAAAACTCCCCACAGGCTGTGAAACAGAGGCTGGAATAGTGAGTTGACTTATTATTGGGATGACATGACAGCCTGGCTTACCTCTAAATCAAGAGATTATGGGTTCAAGCCCCACATTGGGACTTTCATTGTCTAGAGTGATACTCCAGTGGATACTCCAGCGCTAGGGTGGGTTGGGAGTTGCCTTGCCAGAGGTGTTGTCCTTCAGATGAGACGTTAAACTGAGGCTTTGTCTCTCTGATTTTATCGGAGAGACGAGACCTAATTTAAGGGAGAATCAGCACTACTTGAACAGAGAAGGGAAGTTTCTCCCAGTGTCCTGGCCAACAATCCCTGAGATAAAATTGGTCATTCATTTCACCTTTTGTGGGAAATTTCTGTGGGAAATTGTCTACTCCACTTGCCCACAAAATACACAGTTTGCAGTAACTGTTGTGGAATGCTTTGAGATGTGTTCAGCCAGGTGATAAAGCGTGATATCTTAGGAATATCACGCTTAATGTATGTTAGGATTATTATAATTGATTATCCACATGGTCATATAACGTGACCATTACAAGTGTTTAGTGAGTCAGAGAAACTGGATCTGGCACGATTAATGTTGGTCAAACACACTGTGGTACACAGTAATGAGGCAGCGCAGGCTGAGGTTTCCTTGTGCCACTCAGTATTGAGGGCTGTGGGGGCCTAGGGTGCAAGCAGGTGGCCCCTGGATTTCTTCCTCCCTGTGGGAGAAGAGCCCGTCAACACTCAGTGACACAGCAGAGATCAAGGCCTGAGTGTGCAGATGAGCATCTCGTACACAAACCCAGTTCTCACCACTCTGATCATTGCTGTGCTTGTCGGGTGACGAGGGATTTGTTTGTAGTTGGGAGAAGGGACAGGCACATCTGGTGCATCTAGAGAACATCAAGTGTGATAAATAGTGAATTTGGCACTAAACCCAGTGTGCTGGGAAAACTCAGCTTGTGCACGGAAGTGATTTCCAAGGGGATGTTTTTGCGACAACAGCTTGCATTTATGTAGCGCCCTTCACGTGGGGCAGTATCGGAGCACTTACCAATGGCGGAGTCTGACACCAAGCTGGAGGGAGGAGGAAGGTGAAAGGGGTAAGGCGTAGGGATAGAGAGAGAGAGTTCCAGAGTTTCGGAGCGTAGTGGCTGAAAACATGGCAGCCGATGGTGGAGCAGAGGGGACGAGGGACATGCAGGAGGCGAGTGCAAGCTGAGTATAGGCGGCGGGTGGTGGAATGGGGAGCAAGCAGGTCAGAGAGAGGGATGTGCCAGGGCATTAAGGGATTTGTACATAAATGTGAGGATGTTGAATCCATTCTGATAGGGAGCCAGTGGAGCCTGGCGAGGGCTGGTGTGATGGGATTTGCTGTGATGGGGGTACGGAGTTTGAAGCAGTTGACTACAAGGACGGGGGAGTTTTGAATTAGTTGGATTTGTGGATAATGGAGCTGGAGAGCCTGGCGAGGAGGGCCTTGGTATTTTACTTTGTGATATTGGCCTTGGGACGTCCTCCTAATGTGAAAGGCGCTATATAAATGTAATTTTGTTGTTGTCCCTCTTTGCTGTCGCTGAATCTGTTGTGTCCACTGTATGCAGCTCTTCACTGAACAGGGGGTTTAGGAATGCTGTTTCTTTCTGACTGATTTTTGCTGTCTGTCTGTCTCTGTCACTCACTTGTCTGTCTGTCTCTGTCACTCACTTGTCTGTCTGTCTGTCTCTGTCGTCTGTCTGCCTGGCTCTGTCTGTCTCGCTCTGTCTGTCTCTGTCTGTCTGTCTCTGTCTGTCTGTCTCTGTCTCGCTGCCTGTCTCTGTCTATCTGTTTCTCGCTGTCTGTCCTTGTCGGTCTCTCTCTGCCTGTCTGTCTGTCTGTCTGTCTGTCTCTTTGACAATGCCATTGGCCACCCCCCCTTCCCCTCCCCTCCCTTCCCCCCCCCGACCCCAGCTCGGGTCTGAAATACTGTACTCTGTCCAGCGCCTTGGGACGTCCCCCCGACGTGAAAGACGCTTTACAAATGTAATCTTCTTGTTGCTGTTTGTCTCTGTCTCTCTTTGTCTCTCTCTGTATGTCTCTCTTTCTCTGTCTGTCTCTCTCTTTCTGTGTATGCCAAGTATTCAGGACTTGTTTCTTTCTCTTTCAGTTCTGAGAAGAGTTAAACTTACCTTTATAGACACCGTTCTCCGCATCGAGCACATTCCGGATAATTCAGAGACTGGAGTTGCTCTGGAAATCCGCATCCAGAGGTACATCAGCAAACTGACAGCAGGGCAAGAAATTGGAATATTGGAGAATTTTCTGGGCTGATGTTTGTTTGGAAAGGCTATGTGATAAACCGGCTGCAGTGGTGGCTTATTGTAATGGAGAGGCTGGTGCTGTGAGTGGCTGTGTCCCGTAATGAACCTCCCTGGTGTTGTGATGAGCTGCACAGGTTACAGTCTGTAACCTGATCTCAGTCAGGGTGACAGTTGGGATCTGTGCCCTTTGACTGTTGAGGGGGAGTCAAAGCTAGGATACCCTATAGCTAGGATACCCTATAGCTAGGATACCCTATAGCTAGGATAGTGGAGCACTATCCAATCACACTTCACCGGGAATTGCTATCAGTAGGCAGTTGTGTCGGCCAATTGGTAAACAACCAATTTAAGTGATGGATTGTTGGCCAGGATATGGTGGGTGAGGGGCAGGGGACTCCCTTCTCTTTAATTGATGAAAAGGGATCATCACATCCACTTGAATACCTCCGCTGAATGTCTTATCTGACAATGCTTTGCAAGTGAGAGACCTGAGTTCAATCCCCGGCAGGTCGGGGCGAAACCTTGGGCAAGTTTCCTTACTCCACACAGAGCCTAATAATAATCCCTCCAAAACAAAACAATAATAAATTGGTCATTTTCAATCTACGACTGTTTGTGGGACATTGCTGTGCGCAATTGGCTGCCGCGTTCGCCCACAAATATACAGTCAATTCACTTTAGTGTGTTCTGTGAAGCGCTTTGGGACGTCCTCCCGACATGAAAAGCGTTATATCAAATGCAAGGATTATTATTATTATTATAAAGCATTGCTCTTCCCTAATGTGGTGTAAGGGTGGCTGCATTGGCTTCCAGCTCGTGGCCCTGCTGTGCTCTTGAGGTATTGCTACAACAACTTGCACGTATAGAGCACCCTTCACATGGGGCAGCTCCTCGAAGGGCCTGCTGCTGGGAGTGAATGATTTCTCTATTATAGTGCGACTGCCTGCCCAAACCTCTCTTCCTCTTGTAGGACTGAATACCGCGACGAATCTGCAAATGAAAGCCCAGACGTGAATGTCCACCAGCCCACAGCCTTTGCCCACAAGAACCTGCAGCTAAGTGGAGTGCTGCTTTTCTGGCACGAGTTTCCTGAGAGTGCAAAGACGTCGCCCAGGACCTCGCCAATGCAGGTGAGAGCACTTGTTTCTTTTTAATATAGAACCTTATTCTGGAGACTCACAGCGACTGTTTTGCTTCATCGCCTTGCTCCTTCCTCCCTTCGTTCCCCATTTTCAGGTTGCGCCTGAAGACCTTCCTATTTGACCGTGCCTACGGTCACCTCCCCCTCCCCTTGGTTCGGCGTCGTCTCTGCTACTGTCAAGCACTCTGTGAGTGAGGGGTGCTACATAAATGCAAGTTATTGTTGTCATCACATGGTGGAAGGAGGGAGGTGTCGGGTGGTGAAGCCAGACGGTCATTGTGTTGGTTGATCTGCTGTTGTTTACGCCCACAGGAGATGGAGGCCAAGCTGTCCCCGAGCTGGAACCCCAAGATTGTCTCCGAGCCACACCCACAGTTCACCAGGAAAGCCTCCGGTGCCGTTCATTTCCAGCCTGTGCAGATCGGCAGCTGTGGTGGGAAAATAGAGCTGGGTCTGACCCTGAAGCAGAATGAAGCACTTCCCGTGCCAAAGGTCAGATTGTTTCTGATCACAAAATCGTTAAAAGGGCCTTTCATTAAAAAAGGAGATTTTCCACAGTGTTTGCTCTCTGGGTGGAAGGACATGGCGTTGTGCTTGTTGCCTCCACAGAGCGCTGTTCCTCAGGACAGTGACACTGCTGTGGAGAGGCATTGATCAGTGACCAGGTGCTTGTCTATAGGGAGGGAGCTGGCACCTTGAGCACCTGGGGGAAGATTCATAATAATAATCCTTGCGTTTGACATAGTGCGTTATCAAGTCGTCGAGACACCTCAAAGCGTTTCACAGAATGTACTGTAAAGTGAATTGACTGTATAGTTTTGGGTGAAGATCATCCGCAGACATGGGGTCAACTTCCACATGTATGCAGATGACACCCAACTCTACCTCTCTGCCTCCACCCTTGACTCCAGGATCAAGTCCTGGATGAGAGCTAACTTTCTCCAGTTGAACGTCAACAGGCCGAGTCTCCTGATTGTCTCCCGCCAGCGCCTCCACACCTCAGGCACTGCCAGCATCACCGTCCATGGTCGCCCAATCCCTCTCACTGAGCCAGTCCAGAACCTTGGCATCTTGTTTGACCCTCAACTATCCTTTCTACCCTACATCTGCACCATGACCCACTCTGCCTTCCCCACCTCCGCAACATGGCTGAGCTCTGCCACTGTCTCACGGCGCAGGCCGCCGAAACCCTCATACATGCCTTCATTACATCGAGGCTCAACTATGCAAACTCATTGCTTGTCTGCCTCCCCAACTCCTTCCTCCCATGGCTGCAGATCATCCACAACTCTGCAGCCTGTGTCCTCTCCCGCATTAGGCTCCAAGACCCTATCACCCCCATCCTCGCCCACTGGTTTCCCATCACACAGAGGACACAGTTCAAGATCCTGGTTCTCACCTTCAAAGCCCTCCGTGGCCTTCCTCCCCCTACCTCTGTGATCTCCTAAGCCCCTACCATCCTGTTCGCTCCCTCCGCTCAGCGGGCTCTGGCCTGCTTTATATCCCCCGCCTTGCTTGCCCCACCATTGGTGGGCTGGCCTTCCGCCACTCTGCCCCCACCCTCTGGAACTCCATCCTGCAGTCCCTCCTTTTGTTGTTGTTGTGAGACACGGCAGCCAGTTTGCGCACAGCAGTGTCCCACAAACAGTCGTGGAGTGGATGAAAGCTGAGTCCAGATGGCCAGGTAGACTCCTTGCCACAGTTGCCCAGTGACTGGGGAGAAATGAAGGAATGGAGGGCAAAATCAGAATCTGTCTTACTTTGTGTTTCTAATCCTTTTTATTCTGTATTGGTTTGTGAACTGCAGTGGGGCAACAATGCGGAGACTGACTGTGAGTTTCTCTGTCTCCAACAGCTGGATGTGGAGGGACTGATCGAGTGTATCAACGTCTTCCTGTCCCCACGACAAATCCACCTCCTAATGGACATGCTCAGTGCCATTCTGCTGCCAGGTCAGTCCCCAGGCTTGTGTTAAAGTGTAGGACTTCTCCCCATTACTCCCATCCTCTCGAGCCAGTCCTCTGTGAATGTCCATAGTCCAGTTCCTGAGCCAGATTGTGTGTGTGGTTAGTGACTGTGATTGGCTAGTTGGGCTGTGTAATTACTTACTGTGATTGGCTGGTTGGGCTGTGTAATTACTCACTGTGATAGGCTGGTTGGGCTGTGTAATTACTCACTGTGATTGGCTGGTTGGGCTATGTAATTACTCACTGGGATTGGCTGGTTGGGCTGTGTGGTTACTCCCTGGGATTGGCTGGTTGGGCTGTGTGGTTGCTCACTGTGATTGGCTGGTTGGGCTGTGTGATTACTCACTGTGATTGGCTGGTTGGGCTGTGTGGTTACTCACTGTGATTGGCTGGTTGGGCTGTGTAATTACTCACTGTGATTGGCTGGTTGGGCTGTGTGGTTACTCACTGTGATTGGCTGGTTGGGCTGTGTGGTTGCTCACTGTGATTGGCTGGTTGGGCTGTGTGGTTACTCCCTGGGATTGGCTGGTTGGGCTGTGTGGTTGCTCACTGTGATTGGCTGGTTGGGCTGTGTGGTTACTCACTGTGATTGGCTGGTTGGGCTGTGTGGTTACTCACTGTGATTGGCTGGTTGGGCTGTGTGGTTACTCCCTGTGATTGGCTGGTTGGGCTGTGTGGTTACTCACTGTGATTGGCTGGTTGGGCTGTGTGGTTACTCACTGTGATTGGCTGGTTGGGCTGTGTGGTTACTCACTGTGATTGGCTGGTTGGGCAGTGTGGTTGCTCACTGTGATTGGCTGTTCAGGATGCTCGGAACAAACAGTTGTGGAATCCAAAGGCAGGAAGAATCGGCCAATGCAGCAGGAGGACCAGTACCTGATTCAGATGGAACTGAACCGGTACCTACAGAAGGAGAAGCTGTCTCCTGGGGTCTCAGCAGAGCACAGCTACTATGAGACTGAGACTGTCCGAACCACTTCAAGCCGAGGTATGGTGCACAGTCACTAACATGGCTCAGCCTCATGTGTCTATCTGTGTCCCGTACTCACAGTCACACCGAGCAGGGCACAGTTACAAGTAACGTGGCAAACACTAACCTGGGAACAGACTGGCACCTGCCTTGCACCACTCATCCAGCCACATACAACACAACAAATTATACAGTACCTTTCATGGCTGGAGGACGATTCAAAGCCTTTCACACAAGAAACAAGGGAAGGGATGATAGGACAGTGCCCCAGTGACTGAGGTGCAGTGGCTGAAAGCTCAGCCACTCTCGGAGGGAGTAGAGTAGGGAAAGTGGAGAGGATGGGGGTGGAGAATGGGACTGGATGAGATGGGGAGTGACTCTGCTTGTGGGAGTTCAGAACAGCTGGAAACAGAGATTTGGAGCCCCTCCCCTCCCCATATACACCCCAAAATAGGTAATATTACAGAACAAGCCTCCATCTTCCCCATCTATTGGCTTTGGTGTGAAACTTGTTTATTGTATTGAGTGACCGATGGTCGATAGGACAGGTTGGGACAGATTTGGTCAATTACAGTTTGTACTAATCCTCCTCGAATACTCTGAGCACGAGCGATGTCTTCCTCAGCCATCCTGACTGCAGGTCTCCTGTCTGTTTCTCACAGCAGAAGATGAAGTCTTTTTCTCAATGGCAGACATGGAGATGTCAAACAGTGTGGCGTCACTTCCTCCCCTGGGAGAACCTGAACCCGACCTGGAATTGTCACTCAGCAGCACTCACACCAACTCGATGGCCAGCTCCCCACAAGCCGGCGCAGGGGTAAGGGCCTGAGCCAGCGAGGGGGGCAGGGCCTGAGCCGGCGAGGGGGGCCGGGCCTGAGCCGGCGAGGGGGGCCTGAGCCGGCGAGGGGGGCCTGAGCCGGCGAGGGGGGCCTGAGCCGGCGAGGGGGGCCTGAGCCGGCGAGGGGGGCCTGCGCCGGCGAGGGGGGCCTGCGCCGGCGAGGGGGGCCTGCGCCGGCGAGGGGGGCCTGCGCCGGCGAGGGGGGCCTGCGCCGGCGAGGGGGGCCGGGCCTGTGTGTGTGGCACAGCGCTGCCTGGTACAGGGTGGCACTGACAGCTGGCACGTCGGAGTGTTTGTTAGGGAAACGCTGGTATCTCACTACAGCAGTGACAGCAGCACTCAGTGTGTTTGGCTGGACAGCACAGAGGGAGGCCATTCAGCTGATCTTTGTGCAGAGATGTGAAGTGCACATAGTGCAACCTGAAACCTCCGTTCAACTCAGCTGAATCCTCTCCTTTCAGTGGGACGATTACCTGGACCCCGCTGGACAGGGAGGCCGAGGCCCCAAGGAGCAGCTGTATAACACCAGGGAACCACCGTTGCTTCAGAGACCTCTTCGACGAGGCAGTAAGTGGGGAACACTGCTCAGTGCCATCAATGGGCTACACGAGAGGAGCAACAGTTACTGTCTAACATTGTACCCCAGCCTCATGCTCCCTCCCTTTTTGTTTATTCTGTCTCTAACTCTGACATGTGTATAAACTTCTGTTACTTTGTCATTTCAGTCAGTTGTATCCACTGGAGCTCTCTACTCTAACACCATTCCCGGTCTCTCTTGCCCCTTTCTGTCTGTGCTGGTGCTCGCTCCCCCACTGGATCCCACTGTATTTACGTTAAAGTACCTTACCCAGAGGTTTGATAGCCCTGTGATTGGCAGCCCTGGCGTTGTATTGGCAGATTTGTTTTCTCTTTCAGATCTAGCCTGTAAACCTCACTGTGCTGCTGAGTGGCGTCCTGAGGCAGTGATCAGGCTGACTGTGGGCGGCTTGTCTGTGTCAGTGCTGCACATTGATCCCCTGCCCCCCCCGGAGAGCACCCTGAGGCTGGACCCGCTGACCAGGATGGCCACTCACTTCTTCAGCTGCCTGCAGGGACTCAGCCCCGCTCAGTTTGCAACAAAGGATTTCCACAGACTGCGGCCCGCGTTTGCTGACGCTTGTCCCCACGATCATCTCAGGTAAAGCCTGCAGGCCCTTGTAACAGTCACCCCACAAGAGTGTCCAGCCTGCAATCCGTTGTAATAGGGCAAAACTGCCATCAGTGCTGTGTGGTGTGGCCTGAGGTGCAGTGTGGTGTGGCCTGTAGTGCTGTGTGGTGTGGCCTGTAGTGTGGTGTGGCCTGTAGTGCTGTGTGGTGTGGCCTGCAGTGCTGTGTGGTGTGGCCTGTAGTGCTGTGTGGTGTGGCCTGCAGTGCTGTGTGGTGTGGCCTGTAGTGCTGTGTGGTGTGGCCTGCAGTGCTGTGTGGCGTGTGGCATGGCCTGCAGTGCTGTGTGGCGTGTGGCATGGCCTGCAGTGCTGTGTGGCGTGGCCTGCAGTGCTGTGTGGTGTGGCCTGTAGTGCTGTGTGGTGTGGCCTGCAGTGCTGTGTGGTGTGGCCTGTAGTGCTGTGTGGTGTGGCCTGTAGTGCTGTGTGGTGTGGCCTGCAGTGCTGTGTGGTGTGGCCTGCAGTGCTGTGTGGTGTGGTCTGCAGTGCTGTGTGGTGTGGCCTGCAGTGCTGTGTGGTGTGGTCTGCAGTGCTGTGTGGTGTGTGAAGCCTATAATCTCCTGTTGCGCTCCGCAGGCTGTTTGCTGCTGGTATAAAGCTGAGCTACGAGCAGCGTCGAGGTGCCAGCTCCCGCAGCCTCAACACTGACGTGTCTGTCAATTGGATGGAACTGCTGGAGTGTCTCTTCCCAATTGATTCTCGCACTGTCCTCCCACAGTACACTGAGGTGAGCAGCACTGGCTATTAGTATATTACATAGCAGCATTAGCACTGTCCTCCCACAGTACACTGAGGTGAGCAGCACTAAGACTCTGTGCTGCTACACCCCACTGCTCTGTGTTGGTGTCTCGCTGGCTTCTCTCTGCTTCATCTCAATTTTCCAGAGAGTCGGCTGGGTCAGCAGGAGGCTTTGGATCACAAGCTTTTGGCTTTGAATGCAGGTGGCTCCTCTCTACGAGGTTACCCTGTTATAACAAATGGGGTGAGGATCCCGTTCACTGGGCACGTGCACAGCAAACGGGAAGCCACGTCAGCCGCAACCTGATGACCTGGAAGTTGATCCTGTATTTAATGTGGGAGCCATGTTGCCGGCAGGATAGGGAAACCTATCGTAGCCTCGCTATGTGGGAGGTTAGGAGTTTATGAACCTCGAACTCCAGTTGATAACAAGGCGCCACTGTGTTGAGCAGTGTCTCACCTTTACCCTGTGTGATTGCCCCACTCCTGGGGTGGGAGTTTTGGTCTCGGAGCCGCAGGATCACTCGCCACAACTGTCCTCATTGGAGCGATCCTTCCAAATGTTTTCAAAACAACAGCAATTATACATTTGTATAGTGCCTTTCACGTCAGGAAACCTCTGTTCTCCGACTCCAAAGGGACTGGTGAAGGGGTGGTGTGTGATGTGTGTGGTGTGTGTATGTGACCTCTTGGGTGTGATGGTGGTGTGTGGGTGGTGATTGTGTGTGTGTGGGGTGGGTGGGGGGTGTAGGGGGTGAGCTCTTGCCTGTGTGCTGGCAGGCATAGACTAGTCTGAAACTCTCCCTTTCTTTTGTCAGCTACTGAGGTTCGAGTGTGAGAGCAGCCGAGAGCCCCCAGCACCTTGTGTGCACATTCACTACAAGCACAGCCCCCGCAGTGGAGTCCAGGTACTTGTAATACTGTATTGTCTGATTTGAAGCTATTGCAGTGGTTTGGGTTGGGTTTTCCACATGTGAATAAATGTAAAATTCTCCTGGCTTCTCGCTATGACATACGGTGACCGGCTCTGGTTACCCGCTTGCTGAGTAGTGGCTATCAGGCCTCCCCCTTCCCCTTGCTGTTTTGATGGGAACGACAGTTAATGGCGGCCGCTGTGCAGCTTCCTCGCCTATGCTTGACGCTGCTGTGTTTGCTGTGTCACAGGGCAGTCAGGGGCGGCTGACTGCGGCCCCCCAGAAGGCTGAGCTGCTGGTGGAGCTGGGCCTGGTGCACTCGGAGCTGGACATCAGTATTGTGGACAGACTGAATTCCCTGCTGCAGCCTCAGAGGCTGGCCACTAGCGAGATGATGGCATCCCACATGTACACTTCCTTCAGCAAACACATCAGCCTGGTGAGTGACTGCAGGGATAACGGGGCTGCGGGGTGGGGGTTACAGCTTGCTGCACACAGCTGGGAGGGTTGGGGAGACATGTTACAACAATGTACTCCTTGGAAATGTGTGAGGAGGCACTCCTATGGGTGAGGACAAGCAGCCCCCTCTCTGGGTAACAAACAGTTAGTCAGCTGCTGGAGGAGCTTGGGGCAGACTTGGCCTCCTGTCTGCAGTTACTGGCTGAGCTGGAGACACCGGGTGGTGAGAGAGCAATAATAATAGTAATAATAATAATAATAATAATCCTTGCATTTGATATAGCGCTTTTCACGTCGGGAGGACGTCCCAAAGCGCTTCACAGAATACACTGTAAAGTGAATTGACTGTATATTTGTGGGCGAACGCGGCAGCCAATTGCGCACAGCAATGTCCCACAAACAATCGTAGATTGAAAATGACCAATTTATTATTGTATTGTTTTGAAGGGATTATTATTAGGCTCTGTGTGGAGTCAGGAAACTTGCCCAAGGTTTCGCCCTGACCCCCCGGGGATTGAACTCAGGGCTCTCACTTGTAAAGCGAGTGCTCTAACCACTGAGCTGCAGAAACAGCCCTCTCCCTCCCACACACACGCCCTCCTGTAAAAAGAATGGAGAAAACAGAAATGTGCAAAAGATTAAGATATAAGATTTCCAGGAACATACACGCCAGTATTCTGTAACGCAGGGATTTTGTCTTCACGTAGGACTTTTAAAAGTTCACAGATCCTGTTTTATGAGAAGGTTCGTCGATTGAAACTGTTGCGTTGTTTAAAGTAAAACTCTGCCGTTCGTAGCTGAATTGGTTTAAAAATCCTGCAGGGATGGACTGCGGGAGGGGGAAAACAAATCCCACAGTATGCACAGGCACATACATGAAACATCTAATCATCGAACACTTTAGCTGACTTTATTTAAAAAAATAATCCGAGCAGGTGATAGCCACGCAGTGGGAGCTGGGGTGGTTGTAGCGGTTACCTTGGCTGTGGCTACCGCTGGTTACTGCTCATTTGCTGCTTACACCTCACACGCTCTCTGTTGCAGCACAGGGCCTTCACCGAGGTTTTCCGCGATGACGCTGCGTCCCCAGCAAACCGCCGGACATCTGTCCAGGTCACCGCGCCCGTCTTCAAGATTGCCATCCGCTTCCCCATCCCAGACCTCCGCTCCGACCAGGAGAGGGGGCCCTGGTTCAAGAAATCTCTCCAGAAGGAGATCCTGCACCTGGAATTCAGCGAGGCTGGTGTGAAGACGGAGTTCTGTGGGAGTTTGTCCCACGAGCAGCTGAAGCTGGAGCTGACGTTTAAGGAGCTACTCGGTGAGACAGCCAGCACTTCCTATATCACACAAACCTCCTGTCTCTGCCTTCCTCCCCGGCTACTGCTCCCCGCGCCCCCTCAACTAATGATCCCCCTAATGCTCCCCCACCCCCCCCGGCTAATGCTTCCCTGGCCTACAGCCTGAGACACTGTGTTGTCCAGCTTAAGAACATGTAAAATGGTGCAAATTTCTTTTTCATTCTTAAACTAAATTCATTCTTAATCTAAAGGACAGACTGAGTTTGATTTTTCCACAATTCTGTGCCTTCGTAACCATTAGGACAATGTCTCAGGCTGGGGGGAGGCAGTGCATGTGAGTCAGGCCTTTTCGGCAGTGTGTTTGATTGTCAGCAGGGCAACAAACAGCAACAACATTTGTAAAGCACCTTTCACGTTGGGAGGATGTCGCAAGGAGCTGAACAGTCAGGGATCAGGATCTGAGCGTGGGGGGGCAGGGTTGGGATAAGGGAGGGCAGAGAGAGTAGGAGGACGGCTGAAGGCTTGTTCGACAAGGAGGGTCTTGAGTCGTGCCTTGAAGGAGGCAAGAGAGGGAGCGAGGGGAAGGGATTGTGGGATGGAGTTCCAAAGGGTGGGGGCAGAGAGGCTGAAAGCCCGGCCGCTGATGGTAGTGGGGGTCGGGCGGGAGCCCTGGAGCAGGGCGGAGTCTGCTGAGCGGAGGGAGAGGACAGGCTGATAGGGGGTCAGCAGGTTAGAGATGTAGGAGGGGGTAAGGCCATGGAGGCCTTGAAAGTGTGGACGAGGATGTTGAACTCTATCCTCTGAGGGATGGGGGGCCAGTGGTGCCGGGTGAGGGTGGGGGTGATGGGGTCACAGAGCCTGATGCAGGAGAGGACACAAGCTGCAGAGTTCTGGCTGATCTGGCTGGTGGGTGTGTCTGTGACCCGTGGTCACAGTCTTAAGATATCTACCAAAAGAAGCAGAGGGGAGGTTAGAAGAAATGTTTTCACTCAGCGAGTTGTTGGAATTTGGAATGATCCGCCCGAAAGGGCAGTGAAGTCTGATTCGATAACAGCTTTTAAGAGAGAACTGGACACAGGTATCGGGGAAGACGGGTTTGCAGAGTTATGGGGAGAAAGCTGGTGATTGGGGTCAGTGGAAGTGACGATCTGTCAAAGAGCCGCACAGACTCGATGGGCCGAATGGCCTCCTTCTGTGCCGTAACATTCTATGAATCTATGAATCTGCAACTTGTGGAAGGAAGAGTTGGGGAGGCCGCCAAGGAGGGAGTTTCTGTAGTTGAGCCTTGAGGTGACAAATGCATGTATGAGAGTTTAGGGGGCCTGAGGGGTGAGTCAATGGCGGAGTCAGGCAATGTTGCGGAGGTGGGGGAAGGCAGAGCGGGTCATGGCACGGATATGGGGGAGAAAGGTCAGTCGAGGGTTGAACAAGACGCCTCAGTGAGGTGGAGTGTGCATCCGTAGATGTGATGCGACCAGTGCCTGTGGGGCGGAAGTGCTGGTGCGAGACAATCAGGAGGGCCTCGGTCTTGCTGACATTCAGCTGTAGAGAGTTGGCTCCCACCAGGATTTGATGTCAGACAGTCTGTGTGATTGTCGGCAGGGCAGTGTGGGTGGTGGGCAGGGCAGTGTGTGTGGTGGGCAGGGCAGTGTGTGTGGTGGGCAGGGCAGTGTGTGTGGTGGGCAGGGCAGTGTGGGTGGTGGGCAGGGCAGTGTGGGTGGTGGGCAGGGCAGTGTGGGTGGTGGGCAGGGCAGTGTGGGTGGTGGGCAGGGCAGTGTGGGTGGTGGGCAGGGCAGTGTGGGTGGTGGGCAGGGCAGTGTGGGTGGTGGGCAGGGCAGTGTGGGTGGTGGGCAGGGCAGTGTGGGTGGTGGGCAGGGCAGTGTGGGTGGTGGGCAGGGCAGTGTGGGTGGTGGGCAGGGCAGTGTGGGTGGTGGGCAGGGCAGTGGCTGTGGTGGTGGGCAGGGCAGTGGCTGTGGTAGTGGGCAGGGCAGTGGCTGTGGTGGTGGGCAGGGCAGTGGCTGTGGTGGTCGGCAGGGCAGTGGGTGTGGTGGTCGGCAGGGCAGTAGGTGTGGTGGTCGGCAGGGCAGTGGCTGTGGTGGTCGGCAGGGCAGTGGCTGTGGTGGTCGGCAGGGCAGTGGCTGTGGTGGTGGGCAGGGCAGTGGCTGTGGTGGTGGGCAGGGCAGTGGGTGTGGTGGTGGGCAGGGCAGTGGCTGTGGTGGGCAGGGCAGTGGCTGTGGTGGTGGGCAGGGCAGTGGCTGTGGTGGGCAGGGCAGTGGCTGTGGTGGTCGGCAGGGCAGTGGGTGTGGTGGTCGGCAGGGCAGTGGGTGTGGTGGTCGGCAGGGCAGTGGGTGTGTATATAATTGGGTAAGACAGCAGACGCACACTGATGGGTTTGCACTTTGCTAAAGGACGTGTCTGTGTTTCAGGGAAATTCCAGGAAGACCAGGAGACGCCAGCATTCAGGTTTCTTAAAGTATCACACGCCGCAGACGGAGACATGTCCTCGTCAGACAGCGAGAAGTTTGACTGGCCACGGTGGGTACCCCAGGAGGCAAGACTCAGGACTGAGTCTCTGATACAATGTGCATTAAACCAGGTGTCAAAACAGGGTCCCTGAGGCTGTTCAGGTGGACATAAAGGATCCCATGTCATTACTCACAAGGAAGAGAAGGGAGAATGGCCAACATTCCCCCAGAGATAAAAATTGGGTATTCACCTGGTGGCTGTTTGAAGGACATTGCTGTGCACAAATTATTGGACACTATAACCTACAAAAATAGCTCCTGTGCTTCACGGGAATTATTGTAACGCACTTTGAGCAGGAAGGGTGCTATAGAATACAGCATCAGTGTGTGGAGGGAGCTTGGCTGTTTGTCTGGACTGGGTGCTGATGCTCTGCTCTTGACACTAGGGTTGTGTTGAAGGTGAATCCCACCGCGGTGCACTCCATCCTGGAGCGGATCACCAGCGAGGAGGAGGAGCCCGGAGGCCACTCACTGGAGGATGAGGAAGGTCGGGGTCACTCGCTGGAGGACGAGGAAGGTGGAGGTCACTCTCTGAAGGACGTGTGTGACTTGGGGAAACAGGAAGCCTCGCCTTTCTCCTCTCGCAGAGTCATGTATGAAAACGAGGAGGTGAGAGCGTGAAGGCGTGTAGAGAATTCAGCAATAGAGGTAGCGCAGACGGTAGTGGGGGCAGGCAAGGGGTGGAGGTACACCTAAATGCTGTGTGACTCGGAGGGGCTGCCAGTAGTATGGAGTCCTGTAGCTCAGGGGTTAGAGCGCTCACCTCGCAAGCGAGAGACCTGGGCTTGATTCTCGGCTGAGCGAAATCTTCGGCAAGTTTCCCTCCCTACGCCTCTGTTTACCTAGATGTAAGTAGGAACCCCGTTGTATTATTGAGTGGTGTGTGACTGGGTGGGGCTAGTGTGTGAGTGGTGTGTAACTTCGCGGGGCTCGTGTGTGAGTGGCGTGTAACTTCGCGGGGCTCGTGTGTGAGTGGCGTGTAACTTCGCGGGGCTCGTGTGTGAGTGGCGTTGTCGAACCCAGGATGTAGTCGCTATAGCTAGGATTAAACGAGCACTCACAAACAGAGTTAGCTCAGAAATATAGTTTATTTAATACTTGCAGCAAGGAGAGGGAAAGCCAGAGGTAATACAATAGCACATCCCTCAGAAGAGTCGGTAGTCTCCCTCCACCAATGGGGCAGTCCCATTAGTTTATATACATGATTATTTGCGATCACCTCATGTCTCAAAACAATTCTTGCTGTTGATTGACAAGCAACATTCAGTCATCACAAGTTTAATTGTACATTTGCGGACAGGACAAGGACACTGGTTCTGCTCTAATTATCTACACTTGCTTAAAAAAAACCTAATCTTATCATAGTCTAGACATTCTGTACTTTACGTATTTTAGTCCTTTTACATTCCCACAGCGTGTAACTTCGCGGGGCTCGTGTGTGAGTGGTGTGCGACTGGGCGGGGCTAGTGTGATGGTTCGGGGCTGGTGTGGGTGTGACTGGGCGGGGCTGGTGTGGGTGTGACTGGGCGGGGCTGGTGTGATGGTTCGGGCTGGTGTGGGTGTGACTGGGCGGGGCTGGTGTGGGTGTGGCTGGGCGGGGCTGGTGTGGGTGTGACTGGGCGGGGCTGGTGTGGGTGTGACTGGGCGGGGCTGGTGTGATGGTTCGGGGCTGGTGTGGGTGTGACTGGGCGGGGCTGGTGTGGCTGGGCGGGGCTGGTGTGGGTGTGGCTGGGTGGGGCTGGTGTGGGTGTGACTGGGCGGGGCTGGTGTGGTGTGACTGGGCGGGGCTGGTGTGGGTGTGACTGGGCGGGGCTGGTGTGATGGTTCGGGGCTGGTGTGGGTGTGACTGGGCGGGGCTGGTGTGGCTGGGCGGGGCTGGTGTGGGTGTGACTGGGCGGGGCTGGTGTGGGTGTGGCTGGGCGGGGCTGGTGTGGGTGTGGCTGGGTGGGGCTGGTGTGGGTGTGACTGGGCGGGGCTGGTGTGGGTGTGGCTGGGTGGGGCTGGTGTGGGTGTGGCTGGGCGGGGCTGATGTGGGTGTGGCTGGGCGGGGCTGATGTGGGTGTGACTGGTCGGGGCTGCTGTGGGTGGGGGAGTTCCTGAATGCTGTGTGACTGGAGCACTGCTCTCTGCAGATGGTGATGCCTGGAGACCAGTTTGAGATGGGTCAGTTCCAGGACAGAACCATGAGCACCTCTCACTATGTGCTGGAGCTGATGTTACCGACTGTGAGTCTTGTGCTGCCCAACAAAGTCTTCTACGAGAGGATCTACAACAGGTGAGTAGTGCTCCCATTGGCTGCTAACATGCGGGATTTCCTCACAGATTTCTTAACGGAATGGGAAGTGCTTGAATGCTGAAAGCTTGAATGTGCTGGAAATTGTTACAGGACAAATCCGCAGCCTGTAACCCCTACTTCTCTCCCTGCAGCAATTCAATGTAAAACACAAACATGCACAGTCACATCCTAGTCACCCACCAGGAGAAATTTGTGAACATGTGTTTGTCGGCCTCTCCAACTCCACCCTCCATAGGCTGCAGATCATCCAGAACTCTGCAACCCATGTCCTCTCCCGTACCAGGCTCCTGTATGTGGAATGGGAAGTGAGTGTGCAGCATTGCTGGGATTGAAGCCGGTGTATTAGCAGTGATTAATGTCTTGTTTCTGTTGCAGGATAAATGATTTGCTGCTCTGGGAGCCCGCTGCACCTTCTCCTGTGGAGACGGTCGAAAATGTTTCCTATGGAGTGGGTCTCTCTGTTGCCAGCCAGCTGATCAGTGCGTTCAGCAAAGACAGTCTGACTCAGCCCAAGCCCACTGTCCAGGATGGTACGCTGTTTGTCCAGCATATCAGTGACTATACCGCAGGACATTGCATCCAACCTTTCTGCATGGGCCGGGGGAAAGGGGAGGCTTTAGTAATAATAATAATCTTTGCATCTCAAAGCGCTGCACAAAATATAGTGTCAAGTGAATTGACTATATTTTGTGGCCGGAATATATAAATATTAATGCTGTTTGTGGGATGGTGGTGAATGGGCTTCTCCCTTGGCCTCACAGACACTTGTTTGGACATGCCAAGCGCTACCCATTGTGAGTGAGGAGCAATAACAACAAGGAGTGAGCTCCAGCACAGGCACGATGGGGAGAGAGAGAGCAGGGAATGGGGTTAGTGTAGAGAGCTCCAGTGGGGGAGTGAGCCCCAGCACAGACACCATGGGGGGAGAGAGAGCAGGGAATGGGGTTAGTGTAGAGAGCTCCAGTGGGGGAGTGAGCCCCAGCACAGACACCATGGGGAGAGAGAGAGAGCAGGAATGGGGTTAGAGTAGAGAGCTCCAGTGGGGGAGCGAGCCCCAGCACAGACACCATGGGGGGAGAGAGAGCAGGGAATGGGGTTAGAGTAGAGAGCTCCAGTGGGGGAGCGAGCCCCAGCACAGACACCATGGGGGGAGAGAGAGCAGGGAATGGGGTTAGAGTAGAGAGCTCCAGTGGGGGAGCGAGCCCCAGCACAGGCACGATGGGGAGAGAGAGAGCAGGGAATGGGGTTAGTGTAGAGAGCTCCAGTGGGGGAGTGAGCCCCAGCACAGACACCATGGGAGAAAGCAGGGAATGGGGTTAGAGTGGAGAGCTCCAATGGGGCAGCGAGCCCCAGCACAGACACCATGGGAAGAGAGCAGGGAATGGGGATAGAGTAGACGGGCAGTGAGCACCAGCACAGAGACCAGGGATTGAATTGCTGTATGAGCTGCCATCTTCCTGCGATTCTCCATTTTAAAACCAATTCTCCAATCTGGGGCTGGCAGTGCCCCCCCACCCCATGCTCACGTGCTCTCCCTCTCTCACTGCAGATGACGAGAGTGGTTCCGAGGAGGAGACACTGCAGTTTTACTCGACTCTCGATCTCGCCCACCGCTCCCGCCGCAAAAAGAAAATTGAACAACAGAATAAGAGCTGCCAAAGTCTGCTGTCGATGCTCCTCACCGTGTCCCGTGGCCTGGTCACACTGGGCACCCAGACCAAGGTGAGATACCAGCTGCCAATACAATCACCGTGTCTGACACCGGCCTCAGTGACACTGGGAGACATTCTGCTATGATACACTGTGAGGTGCACTCTCTTTGCGTATTACCGGCCTCAGTGTGCTGTGAGCAGGAACCCTCAGAGCTTAGGCTGGGCGATTGGGGCCGAATCAATGGATTGGATAGTAGGGGCCTGGGCAAATCAATAGAAACAGCAGTAATAATGTTCCAGTAATAATGGATAGATAGGTGGATAGATGTTTGTTAGGTCAGGTTATTAAAGGAATACGGGGCAAGGGCAGGTAACTGGACTTATAGAATGGCAAAACAGGATCAAGGGGCTGAATGGCCTACATTTGTTTCTATGTTTCTGTAATGTTATGAGCAGTAATAATGTTGAGAGATGTGTGGAAAGAGAGAAACGGTGGCAATAAAAACAGCTGGGAGACAGTGGGCCGGATGGCTATGTGTGTTTTGCTGAGTTGCTGTGTGTGTGTGTGTGTGTGTGTGTTTGTGTGCTGGGGGGCACCCTGTGGGGAGCAGTAAGTGGGGACAGGCTCTAAGCTGGCTGGTGTCTTGCAGAATGATGATGGGACGGTGTTGGTGGGGAAGCACGGCGAGTTCTGGCTGGAGATCGAGAATGGAAGCTTCTTCACTGTGGCCAAATATCAGGGCTGTGACGACCAGCACTATTTCTGTCTCCAGACCAACAAAGTCTTCCTGTGTCACCAAGGTACTACACATCACAGCGCATCTGTCTGACGCACGCGCACCGACACGCGCACCGACACGCGCACCGACACGCGCACCGACACGCGCACCGACACGCGCACCGACACGCGCACCGACACGCGCACCGACACGCGCACCGACACGCGCACGCGCACGCGCACCGACACACGCACGCGCACCGACACACGCACGCGCACACACAGCCCCGCCGCACACACAAGCACGCACGCGCACAGACACGCAAACTGACACGCACGCACACAGACACACATGTGCACAGAGACACAAACCCTCACACACGCAGACCCGCACTACAATTAGACCCTGTGACTGGAACAGGTCCTGTCATGCCTCAGCTGGCCCTGGCCTGGGAGCAAGGAGCTCGCACGCACTGGCACAGATTGTAGTGCGGTTATACCTGTCAGTTTCTCAGTTGGTGTCTGTGCTGCACAGGTGTGGTGGACAATGTGTTTGTCCCCGGGGATGTGAAGCTGCCCAGCGGGTCCCGGCCTCCATGGCTGGAGACCACCATCAGCCAGTCTGAGGAGGGGATTGTCACCAAGCAGGCTGCCGCAGCGGGGGCTGGCACTGACGGTCCAAACATGCTCTCCATTGCCGTTAAAGTTCATCACAACAAGAGCGAGAGCAACATGAAGGTGGGTTGGACTGAGCTACATCCCCCAGCTATACCAATACACCAAACATTGTTAACCAGTTCAATGATGGGTGGAGTCCTGTAGATCAGTGGTTAGAGTCCTCGCCTTGTAAGCGAGACACCTGGGTTCAATTCCCGGCAAGTCAGGGTGAAACCTTGGCCAAGTTTCCTTACTCCACACAGAGCCTAATAATAATCCCTCCAAAACTGAAAACAATAATAAATTGGTAATTTTCAATCCACAACTGTTTGTGGAACGCTGCTGTGCGCAATTGGCTGCCGCGTTTCGCCCACATATATACAGTCAATTCACTTTACAGTCTATTCTGTGAAGTGCTTTGAGATGTCAAGAAGACGTGAAAAGCGCTATATCAAATGCAAGGATTATTATTATTATGTATGAGAGGTGTTGGAGATGTGAGTGCCTGTGATTCCCTGCACACACCCCCACACTCATACCCCCACACACACAGCCCCCCCACACACACCCTCACACCCCCCCCACATACACATACACACCCACACACACACTCAGCTCGTTATCAAGTAAGTAACTTAAGGATCAAGTTTGCAGTATTTTTGGTGTGTTCCCAGTGACTGAGTGAGACCCCACTCCAGGCTCTTAATCAGAAAATCAGAGACATACACTCCAGGTCCTCAAGCTTGGCTCGTGCTGACCTGTGCCTAATGATCTCTTGAATTAAGTAAACAGGGTGCATCCCACCAGGGAGAGAGAGTGCGCATTACACTCCAGACATGTGAATTTCCATGTGTAGGTGGCAGAAGTGGAACTTTCTCTCGTTTGGAAACTCTTAAGCATGATGATGGGTTTCTGTGTGTGTCAGACACCCGGCTGATAACGGCGACGGGTTTCTGTGTGGGTCAGACACCCGGCTGATCACGGTGATGGGTTTCTGTGTGTGTCAGACACCCGGCTGATCAAAAAAAGTTAAATGCCACACAATAAGCCTCTTGATTACAAAAAGCATAACTTAGTGTCCCAGGAAGTAGCTTCAGTGTCTTGGAACGTTCCCTTGATATGTTACACTATACAAGTGTAATTGTTGTTGTTATGTAAAGTTGAGGAGTGAGTGACATGTTCTCTCTCCTGTTCCCGGCTTCAGGAAATCCTTGTGGCTCTGGGACTGCGCGGGGCCACTCTTCAGCATCGCAACGTGCTGCCAGGTCACAGCTGGCATGAGCAGGTCAGCCTGCGCTCCCTTTCCATTCATGTGAGCCTCCCTCACTATACACACACAATAGAATACACACTATTCTCTATAATCTCTGGGAAGTGACCTGTGAAAGATGCCTTATAAATGCAAGTTCTTGTTATAACACACACACAGGTTGTTATTTTCTATGATACACACGCAGGCTATTATTCTATATGACACACACGCAGGCTGTTCATAGAATTGTGCAGCACAAAAAGAGGCCATTCGGACCATTGAGTCTGTGCCGGTTCTTTGAAAAGAGCAATGTAATGTCAATCCCACTCCCCAGCCCTTTCCCCATAACCTGCAAACCCGTCCTCAAATACCCGTCCACTGCGTTTTTAAAAGTAGTTATTGAATCGGCCTCCACCACCCTTTCAGGCAATGCGTTCCAGAGTAGAACAACTCGCTGCGTGAAAAAATGTCCTCCTCCCCTCGGCTTCTTTTAGAGACTATTTTGAATCTGTGACCTCGAGTCACCGACACACCCACCAGTGGGAACAGTTTTTCCCTTTCTAACCTATCAAATCCCCTCATGATTTTGAAGACCTCTATTAGGTCCTCGTAACCTTCTCTGCTCCAATGAGAATAATCCCAGTCTCTCTCGCCTTTCCTCATAATCAAGGTCCCTCATTCCCGGTACCATTCTCATAAATCTCCTCTGCACCCTTTCCAATGCCTTAACATCCTTCCTATAGTGTGGTGCGCCATACTCTAACTGAGGCCTAACCAGTGTTTATATAGGTTAATCATAACCTCCTGACTCTTGTACTCTATGCCCCTATTTATAAAGCCTAGTATCCCATTTGCCCTTTTTACAGCTTTATCTACCTGTCCTGCCACCTTCAAGGATTCATTTACCTGCCCCCCCAGGTCTCTGCTTTTTTACCCCCCCTTAAGATTGTATTACCGCCTATATTGCCTCCCCTCATTCTTTCTACCAAAATGCATTACCTCATATTTCTCCACATTGAAACTCATCTGTCATGTGTCGCCCATTTTACCATTCTGTCTATGTCTTCCTGCAGTCGGCTCCTATCCTTCTCACTGTTTACCCCCTCCCTAACTTTGTGTCGTCCGCAAACTTGGAAATGGTGCTTTCTATAGCCAAGTCCAGATCATTTATGTATATTAAGAAGAGCAGTGGTTCTAATACCGATCCCTGGGGGACGCCACTGTACACTTCCCTCCAGTCAGAAAAGCAGCCGTTCACCACAACTCTCTGCTTTCTGTCTCCCATCCAGTTCTGGATCCGCTGCCAGTGTCCCTTTTATACCATTGGCTTCTATCTTTCTTACAAGTCTTTCACGTGGCACTTTGTCAAATGCCTGTTATTCTATATGACACACACGCAGGCTGTTATTCTATATGACACACACGCAGGCTGTTATTCTATATGACACACACGCAGGCTGTTATTCTATATGACACACACGCAGGCTGTTATTCTATATGACACACACGCAGGCTGTTATTCTATATGACACACACGCAGGCTGTTATTCTATATGACACACACGCACACATACAGAGGCTGATGGACTGATTCTGTGCCACCAGATCCTGGATTTCCTGAACATTACTGATGAGCCAGTGTTGGGTTACGCTCCCCCAGCCAATGCCATCACCTTTCATTTGCACTTGTGGAACTGTGCCTTGGACTACAGGTGAGAGAGCGTGGAGTAGCACAGCCCAGGCTGTATGATGTGGATCAGGGGCACTTGGGTGAGGACCACCCATGCTGCTGTGTAATGCTCTGACCATGGCTTGTGTTTCAGGCCATTGTACCTGCCAATCCGAGCTTTGCTCACTGTCGAAACCTTCACCATCTCCAGTAACGCTGTCCTGGACAAGTACAGCTCCACACTCAGGTAAGAGCTGCCACTACGCTCAGAGTTTCAGCTCCTCCACAGCTGTTTATGCAGCAAAATAACTAAACCTCTGGTTTTACAGGATAATCATCGACGATACTGCCTTATATTTGTCTGAGAAATGTAACCCAGGGGCCGTGAACTTAAAGAGAGGTGAGCACTCAGCATGTTCTTTTATAATTATAATAATAATTAGACTTTATTGGTAGAATGAGGGACTTGTGTTTCTGCATTTAGTTTGTTCACCCGTCACTGTGTGTCTGCCGCCGTGTGTGTGTCTGCTGCCGTGTGTCTGAGCCCAGCCTCACCGCTCGCTTGGAGTTGGTAAGAGATTGTAACTGCCTGTGTCCCAATATCTGTTGCAGATTACGTGCGAGTCTTGGATATGGGAGTGTTGGAATTCCGAATCACAGCATCAAAGCCGACTGCAGAGGGAGTGAGGGTGAGAGTGCCTGAGAAATGTTAATGCCAGTGTCTGTGTGTCCATTCCCCCACCCCCTGACTGTCCCAGCCCTCACTTCCTGACTGCCCCCACCCCCTGACTACCCTCTGCCCCCCCCAAACCCCACACCCCCTGACTGCCCTCTGACCCCCCATATGCCCACCCCCTGATTGGCATCTGTCCCCCTCATCCCTCCACCCCCTGACTACCCTCTGTCCCCCATATGCCCATCCCCTGACTGCCCTCTGTCCCCCTCATCCCCACACCCCCTGACTTCCCACTGTTTTGCCCCAGGATCAGCCTCGCTTCGAGCTGCGCTGCTCTAGTGATGTCATCCACATCCGCACCTGCTCGGACTCGTGTGCCGGCCTGATGAACCTGATCCAGTACATGGCCAGTTACGGGGACCTGCAGCCCCCTAGCAAGTGTGAGGAGACCCCAGGATCAGCACCCAGCAACCGGGTAATGTGCCCGCATTATACCCTGTCTGCTCTCACACACGCGCTCCCACACACACACTCTCACTCGCGCACACGCTCTCACACGCATGCTCACACACATGTGCACACGCTCTCACATGCATGCTCACACACACGCATGCTCACATACACACGCGCATGCTCACAAACACGCTCACACACGCTCTCTCACACGCGTGCTCTTGCATACACACTCGCACTCGCTCACACTCGTGCACACACACACGCGCGCTCTCGCGCGCACACGCTCTCACATGCACACACCATGGTGTGTGAAAGCTGCTATAGCAGTGCAAGCTGTTGCTGTTGTTGTTCAGGCGGGCTCGGGTGACAACGCCCCCTGCAGGACCTCCGGCCTTGCTGAGGCTGAGCAGAAGCGACTGCGGGACCTGATGATTGACGCGATGGAGGAGATGGATGTGCTGCCCGCCTCCCCTCCCCCCGCCCCACAGCAGCCTAACGGTGAGAGCCTCAGTGTCCCCGGCCCCTCCCTGCCTGAGGCAGACCCACGTCACTGACAGCTCGCTGACCTCTCTCCACCTCAGCACAGCGAGGCCCGAGTTCACTCAAGGGGTTAACGTTATGAGCAGAAGTTTGTAGAAGTGTCTGTTTCTCCAGTGGAGCAGAGGAAGGGACGAGGAGCTCAGTGAGCTCCTCCTGAGCTCAGTGCTGGGGGAGTGAGCGCCAGTCACAGTGCCAGTCACAGTGCCAGTCCCTGTGGTTTGGGGTGAGGTAAGACTGAAGGAGGTCCTGTCTGTTGGGTGCTGCTCTGAGGGACCTTGATTATGAGGAAAGGCTAGAGAGGCTGGAATTATTCTTGTTGGAGCAGAGAAGGTTACAAGGAGGCCTAATAGAGGCCTTCAAAATCATGAGAGGATTTGATGAGAGGATCCTTGATCAGAGCGTTGACATCATGGCCTTAACGGAAACCTGGCTAACCCCAGGCGACACCTTCCCCCTCACGGAGGCCACACTACCCGACTACACCTCCCACCACATGACACCGTGGCGGTGGTGGAGCCCTTATCGCAAGGACACCACTTGCCCTATCCCCCTACTCCTCTGGCTCTTTCCCCTCTTTTGTGCACCTCGCCCTCTCCCATCCCTCCTTTCTCTCACTCAAAATCCTCCTCCTCTACCGGCCCCCTAAAACCTCTCCCACCTTCATCTCCGATATTTCTACCCTACTTACATCTCTCTGCCTCTGCTCTGATCGCCTCATCATCCTGGGCGACTTCAACCTGCACTTCACCCCCTCCTGCTCCATCTCCTCAGACTTCTCTTCCCTGCTCTCCTCGCTCAACCTCTCCCTCCACATCAACTCCCCCACTCACAGTCACGGCCACCCACTCGACTTGGTGATCACCCGGGGCCTCAGTGTCTCGGATGTCACTATCACCGACAAGGCCGTCTCCGACCACCACTTCATCTCCTTCACCACCTCCACCCCCTCCCCACCTCCACCAGACCCACCACCATCTTCTACCGCCCCTGGAAGAAGTTAACCCCACAATCCCTAACCGCTGCCTTGGAGTCCTCTGAACTCCTCTCCCTCTGGCCTTCAACCCTCACTGACCCCTCTTCTGCTCTCACCCTCCTCCACAACACCCTCTCCTCCACACTCGACACTCTTGCCCCCATCACCTCCCGTACTGTCTCCTACTCTCGCTCCTCCCCCTGGTTCACCACCCACCTCCGCTCACTGAAGAGCCAGGTGTGGGCCGCTGAACGCACCTGCCTCAAATCTGGCCTAACGGTCCACCGACAAATCTGGCTGGACCTCCTCAAAATCTACCGCTCCACTCTAGCCTCGGCCAAGTCGTCCTTCTACTCCAGGATAATCCTGGAGGCGAAGAACAACCCCAGGCTTCTGTTCTCTACCACATCCCGACTCCTCCGTCCCCCCCGCCACCCCGCGCAGGTCATCTCCTCCAACCTTCACTGCGAGGAGATGCTGGATTTCCTTGAATCCAAAATCAAGGGAATCCGCTCCGCGGTCACTTCCCCTCCAACTTCCACCCACCCCTTCCCCCCCACACTCCGACTCCTACCCATCCTCCCCTACACACCTTCGTACCCGTTTCCCCACCCTCTGTCACCAAACTCATCCTATCCCTGAAACCCACCACCTGCTCCCTTGACCCCATCCCCACTCCACTCCTTATCTCCCAGCTCCACCTCCTTGCCCCACATATCACAGACATCGTCAACCTGTCCCTCTCCTCTGGCTCTGTTCCCATTCCCTTAAAAACTGCCACCATCACTCCCACCTTGAAAAAANCCTCCCTTGATGCGTCGCAGCTATCAAGCTACCGGCCCATCTCCAACCTCCCCTTCCTGTCCAAGGTCCTTGAAAGAGTTGTCGCCTCCCAACTGCGCTCTTTCCTCTCCACCCATGAACTATTCAAACCCCTTCAGTCGAGTTTCCGTGCTGCCCATAGCACAGAAACCGCCCTGGTCAAGATCACCAATGACATCTTTGACATCTCTGCCTCCTCGTCCTCCTCGACCTATCGGCAGCATTCGATACGGTCGACCACGCTATCCTCCTCCACCGCTTGTCCTCCCACCTCAACCTTCAAGGCCCTGTCCTTGAGTGGTTTAGGTCGTACCTCTCCCACCGTCTTCATTTTGTTTCCACAAACGGCTTTTCCTCCACCCCCCGCACTGTCTCGTGCGGTGTCCCTCAGGGCTCTGTCCTCGGTCCCCTCCTCTTCACCCTCTATATGCTCCCCCTGTGGTGACATCATCCGCAGACATGGGGTTAACTTCCACATGTATGCGGATGACACCCAACTCTACCTTTCCTCCTCTACCCTCAACTCCACGACCCCCGATGTCCTGACAGCTGTCTGTCCGACATCGAGTCCTGGACGAGAGACAACTTTCTTCAGCTCAACGTGCGTAATACTGAGGCCCTCCTGATTGGCTCACGTCAGCGCATCCGCACCTCAGGCGCTGACAGCATCAGCTCCGCACTCTCCACCTCTCAAAGCCATCAGGAACCTCGGTGTTCTGTCCTTTCTTCCTCATATCCGCACCACAACTGGCACCGCTTTCCATCACCTCCGGAATATCGCCAGACAACGGCACTACCTCACCCCTCACGCGGCTGAAACTCTGGTCCACGCCTTTATCACCTCAAGGCTGGACTATGGGAACTCTCTCCTCGTCGGCCTTCCCGGCCCTCCCTCCACACTGCAGGTCATTCAGAACTCTGCAGCTCGTGTACTGTCCCGCACCAGACACCGCGCCCACATCACTCCCACCCTTGCCCTCGCCCTCGCCCTCACCCTCGCCCTCGCCCTCACCCTCGCCCTCACTCCCACCCTCGCCCTCGCTCGCCTCCACTGGCTCCCCAGCCCCCAGAGGATCGAATTCAAGATCCTCATCCTCACCTACAAGGCCATTCACGGTTTCACTCCCTCCTACCTCTCCGACCTACTATCCCCCTACTTACCTGCCCGTACTCGCCGTTCCTCTGGCTCCGGTCTGCTCCACATCCCCCGCCCCAACCGCCCTACCATCGGTGGCCTTCAGCCTCTCAGCCCCGAGGCTCTGGAACTCCATCCCCAGTGCCTTCGCCGCTTCCTCCCTTTCCTCCTTCAAGGCCGGTCTCAAGGCCTTTCTCTTTGACTGTGCCTTCAGCTCCCCTCTCGACTCTCTACCCCCTCCTCGCTCCCTCCCTTCCCTCCCCTCACACTGACCATTTCCCCCCTCCTCGCTCCCTCCCTTCCCTCACCCTGACCATTTCCCCCCAATGCTCGAGTCCTGACCCAACTGTCCAGTGCCTTGGGACGTCCTCCCGACGTGAAAGGCGCTCTATAAATGAAATCTTGTTGTTGATAGGTTAGAAAGGGGAAAACTGTTCCCACTGGTGGGTGTGTCGGTGACTCGAGGTCACAGATTCAAAATGGTCTCTAAAAGAAGCCGAGGGGAGGTGACAAGAAATTTTTTCACGCAGCGAGTTGTTCGAATCTGGAACGCATTGCCTGAAAGGGTGGTGGAGGCCGATTCAATAATTACTTCTAAAAACGCGGTGGACGTGTATTTGAGGACGGGTTTGCAGGTTATGGGGAAAGGGCTGGGGAGTGGGATTGACATTACATTGCTCTTTTCAAAGAACCGGCACAGACTCAATGGGCCGAATGGCCTCTTTTTGTGCTGCATGATTCTATGTCCCGACATTGCAGCTCTTGAGAAGCTTCCCTTCATGGTCCCATGGCAGAGGCTGGTTGGTTAACTCTCTCTCTCTCGCTCTCTGTCCATTCTTCTCTTGTGCTCAGGGATCCACATCACTCTCAGTCAGGAGACAGACGTGCCCAGGTCAGACCTCTTCCTCTTCCCTGATGAGAGCGGGGGGTCTTCGCAGGAGCAGAGCCCGACCTCCCCCGTCAGCTCCCCCGCTCCACACCCCCCCCGCCCGGCCTTCCCCAAAGAGCAGCCCGAGAGTGAGGACTTCTGTATCCTTGAGGCACCCAAGATGCCCGTCCTGGTAAGAGAGTCGGAGGGAGGTGTGAGGGGGTGGGGGCTGTGTGCGAGGGGTTGGGGGGCTGTGTGCGAGGGGTTGGGGGGCTGTGTGCGAGGGGATGGGGGCTGTCTGTGAGGGGGTGGGGGCTGTGTGCGACGGTGTGGGGGCTGTGTGTGAGGGTGGGTGCTATGTGTTGTGTTCTTGACAGCTGTTGCCTGTGTTGTTGGCAGAGAGAGACTGAGCCCATGGTGAGGGCCCTGGTCTGTGGGGACATTGTGATTAAGGACGAACACTTCATGTTACCCACGAGGAAGACGGACACCGGCAAAGCTCCCCTCCACCTGCCTGTGCCCGAGGTGCACTATGTGGTGAAGGAGGTGTCTGTGGTCTGGCACTTGTACGGGGGCCGTGATTTCACCACCCCCCCTGCTGCTCGCTCCCCCGCCAAGAGCCCCAGGTGGGTCACAGCTCAGTGTGGAGACATATTATAGAATCAGGAGGAGGACATTTGGCCCATCGTGTCTGCCGCTCTTTGAAAAGAGCTTCCAATTCAACCCCACTCCCCCGCTCTCTCCCCATAGACCTGATCAACCCCACTCCCCCACTCTCTCCCCATAGCCCTGATTAACCCCACTCCCCCACTCTCTCCCCATAGACCTGATCAACCCCACTCCCCCACTCTCTCCCCATAGCCCTGATCAACCCCACTCCCCCGCTCTCTCCCCATAGCCCTGATCAACCCCACTCCCCCGCTCTCTCCCCATAGACCTGATCAACCCCACTCCCCCACTCTCTCCCCATAGCCCTGATTAACCCCACTCCCCCACTCTCTCCCCATAGACCTGGTCAACCCCACTCCCCCGCTCTCTCCCCATAGCCCTGATCAACCCCACTCCCCCGCTCTCTCCCCATAGCCCTGATCAACACCACTCGCCTGTTCTCTCCCCATAGCCCTGATCAACCCCACTCCCTCACTCACTCCCCATAGCCCTGATCAACCTCTCTCCCCATCTCTCCCCATAGCCCTGCAAACTTGTCCTCCACAAATAATTGCTGTTACGATGCTGCTGTACGTAATTGGCTGCTGTGTTTCGTCCACAAAATATACAGTCAATTCATTTTACAGTATGTCCTGTGAAGCACTGTGAGACGTCTCGAAGACGTGTTAAGGCCCTGTATCAAATACAAGGATTATTATTTTTGCTGGGTGGGGGGGGGGAGCTGTGATAAATAACTTGAGTTTCCTCGCTCCCTTCCTCAACTCCTTCAAGATCCGTCTCAAGACCCTCCTCTTCGACTGCCCCTTTAGTCACTCTCCTACCTCTGCCCTCCACCCCCAGCTCGGGTCCAAATCCCTGTCTGACCAGCACCTTGGGATGTCCTCCTGACGTGAGCAGTGCTGTGTAAATGTTTGACTTTGATGCTGTTTCTTCCTTTAGTCCTAAACCTGCTGCCAGCACCTCACACAGCTCCCCGGCCCCGACCCCGGCCCCGACCCCGGCTCCAGCCCGACACAGCCGCTCCGCCCGGCGCACACCAGGGGGGCCCGGCAGGAACCACCAGATCCTCATGGAGATTCAGTTCAGCAAGGTGAGAGCTTCCCTCTGCCCCGCACCTTGTTTTTGCTCTAACTCCATTCCCCATGGTGTCTGTGCTGGGGCTCGCTACCCCACTGGAGCTCTCTATCACCCCATTCCCTGCTCCCTCCTCAGGTGAAGTTTCAGCACGAGGTGTATCCGGTTGTGGATGTGAAGCGGCCTGGGGCTGGGGGAGGGACCGAGCGCCCCATCTCTCGCCAGGTCTTTATTGTCCAGGACCTGGAAATCCGTGACCGCCTGGCAACATCCCAGATGAACAAATTCCTGTACCTGTACTCCAGCAAAGAGCTGCCAAGGAAAGCTCACTCCAACATGGTGAGGCTGTCTCTGCCTCGCTCGCCCTCGGCCCCTCGCTCGCCCTCGGCCCCTCGCTCGCCCTCGGCCCCTCGCTCGCCCTCGGCCCCTCGCTCGCCCTCGGCCCCTCGCTCGCCCTCGGCCCCTCGCTCGCCCTCGGCCCCTCGCTCGCCCTCGGCCCCTCGCTCGCCCTCGGCCCCTCTCCGCCTCTCTCTCTCTCGCACACTTGCTCTCTGTTTCTCGCTAACCTCACACTGTTCCTTTTCCAGTTGACGATTAAGGCTTTGCACGTGAGACCAGACTCGGCTCAGACCCCCCGCGAGTGTTGTTTACGAGTCACACTAATGCCGCTGCGTCTCAATATTGACCAGGTTTGTGCCAGCCCCGTGCCCCCACTTTACAAAGGGGGCAGTCCGCAGCCAGCTTAGTGATGGCTGGGGGTGGGGGCGATTTGTGTGTGTGGGCTAAGGGATATCTGACTGGGAGGTATATCTTCTGTCGGTGAAGCTGTTGGGGGTGTGGGGGGGTATCTGGGTGTGGGGGGGATGTGTGGGTGTGGGGTGGTATCTGGTTGTGAAGGGATGTATGGGTGTAAGGGGCTATCTGGGCGTGGCTATCTGGGCGTGGGGGGGGGCTATCTGGGCGTGGGTAGGGCTATCTGGCCGTGGGCTATCTGGGCGTGGGGGGGGGCTATCTGGGCGTGGGGGGGGCTATCTAGGCGTGGGGGGATCTCCTGCACGTGAAGCTGTGGTGAGGGTCTCGCTGTTCCCAGTCCCCTGCGGTTATGTCTGGTCTCTGTGGCTCAGACGGCTCCGGCCTGTGCCCCAGTGTGTATTCGGCCCCTCGGCCTCCCCCCGCGCCCCCTCCCGGAGGACCCCATGCTGCCTGTACAACCTACTGCTGCCAGGTTTGTCTGTTTCTTGTCCAATCCCTGATCCGCCCTCTCTCTCCCTTTAGGATGCGCTGTTTTTCCTGAAGGATTTTTTCACCAGTCTGGCTGCAGAGGTGGAACTGCTCTCTGCTCCCGACCCAGCCCAGGAAGGTACGTTCAGCCCAGTGACCGGGGCCGGGTTAGTGGGAGCGGGTCGGGGCGAGCGGGTTGTTGTGACCAGGTCTTGTCTCTCTATGGTCTCCAGTCAGAAAGCTGCCCAGAGCAGACGCTGGGGGCAGCCCGGGGAGAAACATGGCGTGTCCCATCATTACTCTCCCTGGTCAGTGTGACTCAGCTCCTCACCCCGGCACTGACCGCCTGACCATCACCAGCGACAGCAGCTACACTACCTTCCGGGACCAGCCCATCTTCTTCCGGTGAGTCTCCAACAAACATTCATCACACCAGAAAACAACCAGCAATGGGGCAGTGCACACCAATCAATCAGCTTGTGTGTGTGAGAGAGAGTGAATGTGTGAGAGAGAGAGCGCGTGAGAGAGGGAGCGCGTGTGAGAGCGCTTGAGAGTGAGCGTGTTAGAGAACAACAGAGCGTGAAAGAGTATGAGAGTGTGAGAGGAGTGAAAGAACGAGAGCGTGCTTGTGTGAGAGAGGGAACGTTTGTGTGAATAAGAGCGTATGAAAGAGAGCTTGCGAATGAGAGAACGCGTGTGAGAGCGCGTGTGAATGAGAGAGCGTGTGAGAGAGAGAGAGCGTGTGAATGAGAGAGAGCTGGTGTGAGAGAGCGTGTGAATGAGCGAGAGGGTGTGAGAGAGAGCTGGTGTGGGGAATTGATGTCCAGCCAGGTGTTGTTGGTTGAGGGTAGTATGTGGTGGGGAGGGCTGTGTCGGGGTGGGTGTGTGTGCTCTCTGCCCCTTGCTGTGACTGATGTGTGACGGGGTGGGGTGGGGATACGGGGTTATGGGTACGGGGGGTTTGTGGGCTGTGGTTAGGTGGGTGGGGTGGTGTATGGGGAGTGGGGGGGTATTCTGTTCCCCCGCCCTACCATCGGTGGCCGGGCCTTCAGCCTCTCAGCCCCGAGGCTCTGGAACTCCATCCCCCAGTGCCTTCGCCGCTTCCTCCCTTTCCTCCTTCAAGGCCGGCCTTCAGCTCCCCTCTCGACTCTCTACCCCCTCCTCGCTTCTTCCCTTCCCTCCCCTCACCATTTCCCCCATCCTCGCTCCCTCCCTTCCCTCCCCTCCCCCTGACCATTTCCCCCCTCCTCGCTCCCTCCCTTCCCTCCCCCTGACCATTTCCCCTCTGCTCGGGTCCCGACCCAATTGTCCAGCGCCTTGGGACGTCCTCCCGACTTGAAAGGCGCTCTATAAATAAAATCTTGTTGTTGATGATGATGATCCCAGTCTCTCTCTGTTCCAGGGAATTCCGCTTCACCTCCGAAGTGCCGATCCGCCTGGACTATCATGGCAAACACGTGGCCATGGAACAGGTACACAATGAGCTGGCAAATCAAACACACAGGTACCACACGTACACAAGGCACCACACACGTACACACAGGCACCACACACGTACACACAGGCACCACACACGTACACACAGGCACCACACACACACACACAGGCACCACACGTACACACAGGCACCACACGTACACACAGGCACCACACACACACACACACCCGACCCCAGCACAGCACGGCCTCCCCAGCTACTGGTGGCAGTGAATTTGCTCCATTGTAAATATGTGGATTGATCAACAACAAGATTACATGTGTATAGAGCCTTTCAAGTTGGGAGAACGTCCCAAGGCGCTGGACGGAGAACAGCATTTCAGACCCGAGCGGGGGGAGAAGGGAGGGGGAGAGGGAGGGGGGTGGCCGATGGCATGGATGAAGAGGAAAGTCTTGAGGCGGGACTTGAAGGAGGCTTCATGTGCTGACAATCACAGTGATTGATTGGCTCAAAACCATGATGCAGACACCTCCCAACTGAGCTGCCTGTGTAGTGTGTGGGGATGTGGGCTCTCATTCTCAATAGCCTCCCCCATCACCCACCACCACCATGTGGGACAGAGAAACATAGGAACAGGAGGAGGCCATTCAGCCCCTCGAGCCTGTTCCGCCATTCTATAAGATCATGGCTGATCTGTACCTCAACTCCAATTACCCGCCTTTGCCCCATATCCCCTGATGTCCTGACCCAACAAATGTCTGTCCACCTCACATTGACAATGTGACTGGATCCGGCCATAATCCACAGCCTTTTGGGGGAGGGAGAGAGTTCCAGATTTCCACTCCCCTTTGGGTGAAAACCTGCCCCTGATTTACTCCTAAATGGCCTCTAATGGGCTCTAATGTTCAGGTGATGGCCGTTGTTCTGGATTCCCCACCAGAGGAAACAGTTTCTCTGGAGCTGCCGATCAAACCCCTTTAGTGTTCTAAACACCTCAATCACATCCGCCTCAACCTCCTGAACTCAAGGGGTTACAGATCAAGTTTAGGGAGGGAGAGGGCGAGAACAGGGCTGTGAGTGGGGAGTGGTTAGACACGGTGATGGCTGAGCTGGTTGAGGTGAGGACATGGCTTCATTCTGTGCTCCAGGGAACCTTTGCCGGTATCTTGATGGGCCTGGCTCAGCTCAACTGCTCCGAGCTCAAGTTAAAGAGACTCTGTTACCGACACGGGTAAGAGAACAGCGAGCAAGGCATGTGAGGGTGCGGGAGGGGACGGGTTGTGTGTGTGTGTGTGTGTGTGTGTGTGGGCGCTGTGTGTGTGGGGTGTGGGCAATGTGTGTGTGTGGGGGAGTTGTGTGTGTGTGTGGGCGCGGAGGATACTGTAGGTGTGAGTGTGAAGGTGTGTGTGGGGGGTAGTGTGTGTGTAGGTGTGTGTTATCACTGTGATAACAGGTGTTTTCTCTGTCCGCAGGTTGCTGGGTGTAGACAAGTTGCTGTGCTATGTGTTAAATGAGTGGCTGACGGACATCAGGAAAAACCAGCTGCCGGGGCTACTGGGAGGCGTGGGCCCCATGCACTCCCTGGTGCAGCTCGGTCAGTGACCCCCCCCCCACCCCACCACTCTCTCCCTGTCGCTCTCACACCCTCTCTCTCACACTCTCTCTCTCACACCCTCTCTCTCCTGTCTCTCTCTCTTCGTCTCTCTCTCTCACCCTCTCTCTCTCTCTCACACTCTCGCTCCCTGTCTCTCTCTCACACTCTCTCTCCCTGTCTCTCTCTCTCTCACCCCCTCTCTCTCAACCCCACTCTCTCACCCCCACTCTCTCACACCCTCTCTCTCGCCGTCTCTCTCACCCTTTCTCTCTCCGTCTCTCTCTCTCACCCTCTCTCTCTCCCTGTCTCTCTCTCACCCTCTCTCTCACACACCCTCTCTCTCTCTCTCTGTCAGTCCAAGGCCTGCGGGACCTGGTGTGGCTCCCAATCGAGCAATACCGCAAAGATGGCAGCATCGTGCGGGGGCTCCAGCGCGGAGCCGCCTCCTTCGGAACTTCCACAGCAATGGCTGCTCTGGAGCTGACCAACCGCCTGGTACAGACCATCCAGGTAACCCACCAGTTCCACGCCTCGGCTTTGAAGCTCCCCGGGTTGCCATCACTGTAGCCTCACAGCGAGGAGTCACGTTCCCATTCACCGTCTTGGCAAGTGGCAACCACGCGGCAGCCATTTGCCAGGACGATGAATGGCAACTTGTCTCCTCGCCGCGTGGCTACGGTGACGGTCCTGTCAGCCGGAGACTGACGCTCACTGTCGTCTGTGGGTGTTTATCACCCTCGTTCATGCCCGGCTTCACTGGCTCTCCGTCCCGCAGAGAATCAAGTACAAAACCCTCGTTCCCACTTTCAAAACCCTTCATGATTGTTCCCCCCGACTTCTCCGACTTCCTCACCCCATATCAGCCCCTCTGCTCCCTCCGCTCGGCAGACACTGGTCTGCTCCAGGTCCCCCACACTTCCCACCTCACCATTGGTGGTCAGGCCTTCAGCCTCTCTGCCCCCACGCTCTGGAACTCCATCCTGCAATCCCTCCCCCTCCTCAAGTCCTGTCTAAAGACATTCCTCTTCGACCGTGGCTTCAGCCACCCTCCCACCCCCACCCCCTCTGCTCCCCACCCTCCCACCCCCATCCCCTCTGCTCTCCACCCTCCCACCCCCTCTGCTCTCCACCCTCCCACCCCCACCCCCTCTGCTCCCCACCCTCCCACCCCCACCCCCTCTGCTCTCCACCCTCCCACCCCCTCTGCTCTCCACCCTCCCACCCCCACCCCCTCTGCTCTCCACCCTCCCACCCCCACCCCCTCTGCTCTCCACCCTCTCACCCCCTCTGCTCCCCACCCTCTCACCCCCACCCCCTCTGCTCCCCACCCTCCCACCCCCTCTGCTCCCCACCCTCCCACCCCCTCTGCTCCCCACCCTCCCACCCCCTCTGCTCCCCACCCTCCCACCCCTCTGCTCCCCACCCTCCCACCCCCTCTGCTCCCCACCCTCCCACCCCCTCTGCTCTCCACCCTCCCACCCCCTCTGCTCCCCACCCTCCCACCCCTCTGCTCCCCACCCTCCCACCCCCTCTGCTCCCCACCCTCCCACTGTCCAGTTCCCTGGGATGTTTTCCCGATGTGCACGGGGATGTACAAGTGCAATTTGTTGTTGTTGTTTCTCAGGCGGCTGCGGAGACGGCCTATGACATGGTGTCCCCAGGACCCGGTGGCGGGGGGGCCTTGACCAGGACCAAGCGTCTCTCCCAGCACCGCCTGGCACATCAGCCCGTGGACCTGCGCGAGGGGGTGGCCAAGGCCTACGATGTGGTGCGAGAGGTGAGGCCGTGGTCACACAATCACTACACTTTCTAGTATATCCCGTGAAGCGCTTTGAGAAGTCTGAAGGTCGTGATAAAGCGCGATATCAAACGCAAGGATTATTACTGTTATTTCCTAAGACGGCTCCACGATCACATCCCATCACATCAGCACAACCACTCAAAGCGCTTCACACGACTCAACAACCAACAGTGTGTTACATTTATACAGCGCCTTTCACGTCAGAAGGATTTCCTGTAGCTCAGTGGTTAGAGCAGTGGCCTCACAAGCGAGAGGACCCGGGTTTGATTCCCAGGCAGGACGAACCCTGAAGCAAGTTTCCTTACTCCACACACCGCTGTTTAGCTGCAGTCAGTAAGTGGTGGATCGCTTTTCCAGGGGTAATAATCAGTTCAAAATAAATAAAAATAAATTGGTCACTTCAATCCACGACTGTTTGTGGGACGCTGCCGTGCGCAATTGGCTGCCACATTCCGCCCACAAAATATACAGTCACTACACTTTACAGTCTATTCTGTGAAGCGCTTTGAGACGTCTCAAAGATCAATACAAGGATTATTATTATAAAGTGCTGTAACAGGAAAGGGGGCACTTTGGGGTTGGCCGCTCTCATCAGGGGCGGCAGCCAAACACGCACACCAAGACTAGATTCACAGCTCCACGACTGCTCGTGGGTCTTTGCTAAGTGCAAATTGATTGCTGCGTTTCACCCACAAAACACACAGTCATTCCACTTTACAGTATATTCTGTAAAGCACTTTGAGACGCCATGAAGTGAATGAGGAATTTTATTTGGGGGATTGCCCCAGGAAACCAAGAGAGAGAGAGAAACTCCCTTTTTTTGAGCAGTGCCGTGAGATCATGGAGTCCTGTAGCTCAGTGGTTCGAGCACTCGTTTTGCAAGTGAGAGACCCGAGTTCAATCCCCGGGGGGTCAGGGCCAAACTTCGGGCAAGTTTCCTTACTCCACACAGAGCCTAATAATAATCCCTCCAAAACCAAAAACAACAATAAATTGGTCCTTTTCAATCTACGACTGTTTGTGGGACATTGCTGTGCGCAATTGGCTGCTGCGTTCGCCCACAAATATACAGTCAATTCACTTTACAGTGTGTTCTGTGAAGCGCTTTGGGACGTCCTCCCGACGTGAAAAGCGCTATATCAAATGCAAGGATTATTATTATTATTATCTTTAACATCAGTGTGGAAAGGCCGGAACGCCAGGAGGTTACGATGTGTGTTTTTCCTGCAGGGATTCACTGACACGGCACACATGATATATGAGACGGCCACACGGGAGCATGAGCAGAGAGGCATGACTGGCGCGGTGGGAGGAGTCCTGCGGCAGATCCCGCCCACCGTGGTCAAGCCCTTGATCGTGGCCACAGAAGCCACCTCCAACGTGCTGGGTGGCATGCGGAACCAGATCCAGCCGGACGCCCGGCAGGAGGACACACAGAAGTGGAGGCTGGAGGACGAGTAAACCCACAGCTTCCCTTCTGCTCGCTCGCTCACTCACTCATTCGGGCTTCCAACCTTTCTGGGGAGAGCTGAGAGCGAGGGTGAGGCTGAGGGCTTGGTGCCTGTACTGTGGCGGCATTTTAACTAACGCTGCCTGTATATCTTGAGTCAGTGACTGAGGCAGAAACGCCAGTGACTGAGATGGACACGAGTGCGGATTGTAGGCGGATCCCGTCGCCTCCCGGCTTTGTTGATGGACAGATTATACGTCTGTCACTGACTCCGAGCCAAGCGTGGGATTGTTTGCTGTCTGTCACTGATTTTCCCGCTCCCCCTCACAGCCCCCTCAGCTGCTAGCACATCCCCCAGTGTTTCTCCACGCTCTAAACCCCACCCGTTGTTCCTGCCCTGAACAGCAAACAGACACGTCCAGTCCAGGTCACCCACCACCATGTGTGGACACAGCTTTAGCTCATGGTGGCTCCTTGCTCAGAGCTTTGATCACTGGCACCTAACGGCCCCTGAAAGCACTGCGTTAGGTCACCTTGTCCATTTCTTTGCCTATCTCCATGTCCAGCCCTCCTCTGCTCTGTGCCCTGGCTCCACGCTGCCGGTGATGCCAAACCCTGAATCCTGTGACCCCGTCTGTACGTTCACAAACTTGTTTGATGCCACAGAGTAAACGCACCATAAGAAGTGTAACGGTCATGTGTCGGGGTGGGTGACACTACAGTACCTGTTTTCCACCACTAGGCGGAGCTGAATTTACTCCGCAGACCCACTCAGGTTAACAGTCACACTCAACCCCCATCTCCCTCCAATACATCAATTACTTTCCTCTTACACTGTAAGAGAGAAGTGCTGAGGGAGGGGAGCCTTTCGTTGTGCCGCAGTGAGTCAGCCCCTGAGATCCCACCTGTTTTCCCTGTGTTCCTGTGATTGTGGTGACCAGTGCCAATGCTTCCCGGTGCCCCGCGCGGCCTGAGCGCGGCCTCCAGCAATGTCCAGCTCGGTGCTTCTCAGTCTGACAATCTTGTCTTTATTGTAAATACGTTATAATTTGAGCGCTCAGCCCCGCCGTCCCAGCTCTGTGTTCAGGCTCGGCTCGGACTCCCCGCATTCCCACAAGGAGTGTTGATGTTGATGTTGCCGGCGTTCCATACTCTGGAATCTACTGTTGCAGTTCCCGGTTGTTTTGTTCCCATTCCACGCTCTGTCTATTCTGTACAGCAGATAAAACGCCCACATGGGGTTTGGAGCTGTGTGGTAACTGCACTGTACATATTTGCTGAGATTGTCATTGCTGTGGAGGTATCACAGTGAGGTTTTAGAAGGATTGTACCATAAATGTTGTATTTCAAAAGGGAAATAATAAATAGTCTGTGTGTGTGCACTGTAGTCCTGCTCTCACTACAGAGCTGCCTGCTGCAACCACCAGACAGGATTAGTTACTGTGGGAGTGAGTTGTGACGTTTCCGTGGTGCAGAATGATTACATAGAATTACATACAATATACAGGACAGAAATAGGCCATTCGGCCCAACTGGTCTATGCCGGTGTTTGTGCTCCACATGAGCCTCCTCCTCCCTTCCTCAACTGACCCTTCAAGCATAACCTTCTATTCCTTTCTCCCTCATATACTTATCCAGCTTCCACTTAAATGTGTGTATGTTATTCACCTCAACTATTCACCACTCTCTGGGTAAAGAAGTTTATTCTGACTTTATTTGATTTATTGGTGACTATATTGATGGCCCTGGTTTTGATCTCCCCACAAGTGGAACTGTCATCTCAATGGCTTATACCCTATCAAAACCTTTCATCATTTTAAAGACCTCTATTAGGCATTTAAACCAACCCGTGTCTCTGCTCTCACCCCATGGTGTCTGTGCTGGTGCTCACTCCCCCACTGGAGCTCTCATATTCTACTTGGGTTGAACAAGAATATTCGGCCATGCACCCCCACTTGCATTTCTTATCGTGCCTGGAGAAAAGTCCTCCCCTCCATGCCCTCTCCGCTGCCCTGGAGGCATCCAGACTCCTATCCTGCCCTCCTCCTGCGATGGCCTACCGTCCTGCTGAAACCCTGGTCCACGCCTTTATCACCTCAAGGCTGGACTATGGGAACTCTCTCCTCGTCGGCCTTCCCGGCCCTCCCTCCACACTGCAGGTCATTCAGAACTCTGCAGCTCGTGTACTGTCCCGCACCAGACACCGCGAACACATCACTCCCACCCTCGCCCTCACCCTCGCCCTCGCTCGCCTCCACTGGCTCCCCATCCCCCAGAGGATCGAATTCAAGATCCTTATCGTCACCTACAAGGCCATTCACGGCCTCGCTCCCTCCTACCTCTCCGACCTACTATCCCCCTACTTACCGGCCCATCTCCAACCTCCCCTTCCTGTCCAAGGTTCTGGAACGAGTTATCGCCTCCCAGCTGCGCTCTTTCCTCTCCAACCATTCACTATTCGAACCCCTTCAATCGGGTTTCCATGCTGCCCATAGCACAGAAACCGCCCTGGTCAAGGTCACCAATGACATCTTGACCATCTGTGACCAGGGCTCCCTCTACCTCCTCGACCTATCGTCAGCATTCAATACGGTCGACCACTCTATCCTCCTCCACCGCTTGACCTCCCACCTCAACCTTCAAGGCACTGTCCTTGAGTGGTTTAGGTCGTACCTCTCCCAACGTCTCCACTTTGTCTCCACAAATTTTTTTCCTCCACCCCCCGCACTGTCTCGTGCGGTGTCCCTCAGGGCTCTGTCCTCGGTCCCCTCCTCTTCACCCTCTATATGCTCCCCCTGTGGTGACATCAACCGCAGACATGGGCTTAACTTCCACATGTATGCGGATGACACCCAACTCTACCTTTCCTCCTCTACCCTCAACTCCACGACCCCCGATGTCCTGACAGCTGTCTGTCCGCCATCGAGTCCTGGACGAGAGACAACTTTCTTCAGCTCAACGTGCGAAAAACCGAGGCCCTCCTGATTGGCTCACGTCAGCGCCTCCGCACCTCAAGCGCTGACACCATCAGCATCCAAGGCTGCACTCTCCACCTCTCAAAGCCATCAGGAACCTCGGGGTTCTGTTCGACCCTGAGCTGTCCTTTCTCCCTCATATCCGCACCACAACTGGCACCGCCTTCCATCACCTCCGGAACATGGCCGGACTACGGCACTACCTCACCCCTCACGCGGCTGAAACCCTGGTTCACGCCTTTATCACCTCAAGGCTGGACTATGGGAACTCTCTCCTCGCCGGCCTTCCCGGCACCTCCCTCCACACTGCAGGTCATTCAGAACTCTGCAGCTCGTGTACTGTCCCGCACCAGACACCGCGACCACATCACTCCCACCCTCGCCCTCACCCTCACCCTCACCCTCGCCCTCGCCCTCACCCTCGCCCTCGCCCTCACCCTCGCCCTCGATCGCCTCCACTGGCTTCCCATCCCCCAGAGGATCGAATTCAAGATCCTCATCCTCACCTACAAGGCCATTCACGGCGTCGCTCCCTCCTACCTCTCCGACCTACTATCCCCCGACTTACCTGCCTGTACCCTCCGTCCCTCCGGCTCCGGTCTGCTCCACATCCCCCGCCCCCACCCTCTGCCCTCCACCCCCCGCCCCCAGCTCTGGCGCCCTCTGGCGGCGGCTCTGGGCTGGTGGTGTGTGTTTGTGTGCGGGGCTCTGGCGCCCTCTGGCGGCGGCTCTGGGCTGGTGGTGTGTGTTTGTGTGCGGGGCTCTGGCGCCCTCTGGCGGCGGCTCTGGGCTGGTGGTGTGTGTGCGGGGCTCTGGCGCCCTCTGGCGGCGGCTCCGGGCTGTGGTTGGGCCGTTGCTATGGCAGCTGTGACCTGACACCGGGATGGAGACGGTTTTCATCCCCGAGGACCTGACCGCCAATCTGCCGTCTCTGAGCTTCGAGGCGCCGCTCACTGCGGACGGGAAGAAAATCACTAAAGCGCTGAGGGACCAGAGGCGATGGCTGAGCTGCTGCGGCTGCGGACACGCGGTGTTTTACTGCAACTTACTGACTGCCATGAGGTGGGGAGACATCAATCACTGACGGAGATCAATCACTGACGGAGATCAATAACTGAGAGAGATCAATAACTGACGGAGATCAATGGCTGATAAAGATTGATTACCTAATAGAGATTAGTGACTGTTGGAGATTAATAACGAATTATATGGATCAATAATTGATGGGAATCAATAACTGATGGCAATCATTCCCTATGACTGAGGCTGTGGCTGTGGCTGTGGTTGAGGCTGTGGCTGTGGTTGAGGCTGTGGCTGTGGTTGAGGCTGTGGCTGTGGTTGTGGCTGTGGTTGAGGCTGAGGCTGTGGCTGAGGCTGAGGCTGAGGCTGTGGTTGAGGCTGTGACTGTGGCTGTGGCTGTGGCTGTGGCTGTGGTTGAGGCTGTGGCTGAGGCTGTGGCTGAGGCTGTGGTTGAGGCTGTGGCTGTGACTGAGGCTGTGGCTGAGGCTGTGGTTGTGGCTGTGGTTGAGGCTGTGGCTGTGACTGAGGCTGTGGCTGAGGCTGTGGTTGAGGCTGTGACTGAGGCTGTGGCTGTGGCTGTGGCTGTGGTTGAGGCTGTGATTGAGGCTGTGGCTGTGACTGTGGCTGTGGTTGAGGCTGTGGTTGAGGCTGTGGCTGTGACTGAGGCTGTGACTGAGGCTGTGGCTGAGGCTGTGGTTGAGGCTGTGGCTGTGGCTGTGGTTGAGGCTGTGGCTGTGGCTGAGGCTGTGGTTGAGGCTGTGGTTGAGGCTGTGGCTGTGGCTGTGGCTGTGGCTGTGGCTATGACTGAGGCTGTGGCTGTGGCTGTGGTTGAGGCTGAGGCTATGGCTGTGGCTGTGGTTGAGGCTGTGGTTGAGGCTGTGGCTGTGGTTATGGTTGTGACTGTGGCTGAGGCTGTGGTTGAGGCTGTGGCTGTGGCTGTGGCTATGACTGAGGCTGTGGCTATGACTGAGGCTGTGGCTGAGGCTGTGGTTGAGGCTGTGGCTGAGGCTGTGGCTGTGGCTATGACTGAGGCTGAGGCTGTGGTTGAGGCTGTGGCTGTGACTGAGGCTGTGGCTGAGGCTGTGATTGAGGCTGTGGCTGTGACTGTGGCTGTGGCTGTGGCTGTGACTGTGGCTGTGGCTATGACTGAGGCTGAGGCTGTGGTTGAGGCTGTGGCTGAGGCTGTGGTTGTGGCTGTGGTTGAGGCTGTGGCTGTGGTTGAGGCTGTGGCTGTGGTTGAGGCTGTGGCTGTGGTTGAGGCTGTGGCTGTGGCTGTGACTGAGGCTGTGGCTGTGGTTGAGGCTGTGGCTGTGGTTGAGGCTGTGGTTGAGGCTGTGGCTGTGGCTGTGGTTGAGGCTGTGGCTGAGGTTGAGGCTGTGGTTGTGGTTGTGGCTGTGGTTGAGGCTGTGGCTGTGGTTGAGGCTGTGGCTGAGGTTGAGGCTGTGGTTGTGGCTGTGGCTGTGGTTGAGGCTGTGGCTATGACTGAGGCTGTGGCTGTGGTTGAGGCTGTGGCTGAGGCTGTGGTTGAGGCTGTGATTGAGGCTGTGGCTGTGACTGTGGCTGTGACTGTGGCTGTGGCTATGACTGAGGCTGTGGTTGAGGCTGTGGTTGAGGCTGTGGCTGAGGCTGTGGTTGTGGCTGTGGTTGAGGCTGTGGCTATGACTGAGGCTGTGGCTGAGGCTGTGGTTGAGGCTGTGATTGAGGCTGTGACTGAGGCTGTGGCTGAGGCTGTGGCTGTGACTGTGGCTGTGGCTGTGGTTGAGGCTGTGGCTGTGGTTGAGGCTGTGGCTGTGGTTGAGGCTGTGGCTGTGGTTGAGGCTGTGACTGAGGCTGTGGCTGAGGCTGTGGCTGTGGTTGAGGCTGTGGCTGAGGTTGAGGCTGTGGTTGTGGCTGTGGTTGAGGCTGTGGCTGTGGCTGTGGCTGTGGCTGTGGTTGAGGCTGTGGCTGAGGCTGTGGTTGAGGCTGTGGCTATGACTGAGGCTGTGGCTGTGGCTGTGGCTGTGGTTGAGGCTGTGGCTGAGGTTGAGGCTGTGGTTGTGGCTGTGGTTGAGGCTGTGGCTGTGGCTGTGGTTGAGGCTGTGGCTGAGGCTGAGGCTGTGGCTATGACTGAGGCTGTGGCTGTGGCTGTGGCTGAGGCTGTGGCTGTGGCTGTGGCTGTGGCTGTGGCTGTGGTTGAGGCTGTGGCTGTGGTTGAGGCTGTGGTTGAGGCTGTGTGGGCTGTGGTGGCGTGGAGGCTGGTGGCTGTGGCTGTGTGAGGCTGTGGCCTTGTGTGCTGTGGTGACTGGTGGTGGCTGTGGCTATGACTGGAGGCTGTGGCTGTGGTGGGCTGTGGTTGAGGCTGTTGGGCTGTGGTTGAGGCTGGTGGGTTGAGGCTGTGGCTGGCTGGTTGACTGGTTGTGCTAGACTGATGGCTGGAGGCTGTGGTGGGTTGAGGCTGGTTTGGCTGGTGGGCTGTGGCTATGACTGAGGCTGTGGCTATGGACTTGGTGAGGGTGGTGTGCTGAGGCTGTGGTTGAGGCTGTGGCTGAGGGTCTGTGGGCTGTGGGGGCTATGACTGAGGCTGTGGCGTGGAGGCTGTGGTTGGAGGCGCTTGTGATGTGGAGTGCTGTGGCGGGTGGCTGTGGAGCTGTGGCTGGGTGGACTGTGGCGTGGCTGTGGCTATGAGCTGAGGCTTGAGTGGCTGTGGCTTGATGGGCTGTGGCTTGGAGGCTGTGGCTGGTTGGGCTGTGGCTGTGGCTGTGGCTTATGACTGAGGCTGTGGCTGAGGCTGTGGTGGCTGTGGTGTTGAGGCTGTGGGCTGAGGTGGCTGGCTGGTTGTGGCTGTGGTTGAGGATTAGCCCTCTATCGAACGCCTCCAATACCACGGTCACTTGTCTCTCTTCTTCACCAGCTTTTCCTTTAACTGGTTTGAGATCCTAATTGCTGAGAGGTGTGAACGTGAGAGTGGGGGACCCGGGGGTGGGGAAAGAGAGAAGAGGTGAGTGTAACCAACCAAATTGTGAATGCTTTGAGTAGCTGTAACTTTCACAAAGCAGAAAGCAAACCCAATGGACCCAGTAGATCTGTCAGGCTGTTTTCTCTCTCTCTCTCTCTCTCTCTCTCTATAAATATATATATATAAATGCCATATATAATGGATAGAGATAGAAATTTGGGTGTATGTCACATAATTTAAAATTCAAATATAAAGATGGGTGCACATGTACTGAGCGGATTCAGGCACAAACACAGCAGAAACAAGTACAAATGTAACCCACACAAGTGCCGCTTATCAACAGTGAGACGCTGACCTTCTCTTCAAGACTCCAAATTCTCACAAGGAACAAAAAACAAAGAGTGGATAAGGTGGAAATCCTCCGGTAAAAAATATCTCTGGATGATGGGAATGGGGAGAGCTTCCCCGCTGCTGTTGTCCCTTCAGGAGCTGTAGTGGATCTGGTAGTAGAGAGTTTTATTCCTCCAAATGGAGTAGGAGTTATCAAATTTGAGGAGGTAGACACCCTGTCCCGGGTATTTGTGACGCCCGGCGTGCACTTCGGTGTGACTGTCCTTCCTGTACACTGGCAGGATCTCCTCCAGGTCAGACTTACTGGCCTGTTTGGTGCCTCTCTCTATATCACCCGGGACTGTGGCCACTGAGGAACACAGAGACACAATAATAATAATCCTTGCATTTGATATAGAGCCTTATCACATCTTCGAGACGTCTCAAAGCGCTTCACAGAACACACTGTGAAGTGAATGGACTGTATATTTTGTGGGCAAAACACAGCAGCAAATTGCATACAATACTGTTGCGCAAACATTGCAATTGAGTGATCAAATTTTTTTTTGAGAGATTATTCCCACCAAAAAGCTATCCACCAATTGATTAACAACCGGGTTGCTACTTACTGCTAGGTAAACAGCCGCGTG